TCATGGATGGGAGGCTGGTCCCTTTGTCCATGGCCAGGTGCTGGAGCAGTGACACTGGATCAGGCCCTGATCTCACTGGCTGAGGGGCTGCTCCAGGTGCAGCTTGGGTGTGGGGCAGCAGCTCTCAGGCCTCCCTTGCTAGGTGAGCACGAGGGGTCTCTCCTGCCCAGGCTGGCACTGGGTGGCACCACTGCTGCCATGCCGAGGGCCTGTCTGGCTGCCTGGGCTGGGGCAAGCCTGCTGACAGGGCTTGTCCCTGTGAGGTGCATCCCTGCCGACATTCCAGGGCAGGGAGGGGTTCTGTAGGGGGTGACATCCCATGTCCCTACAGGGCTGGCAAAAAGGCTCTGGGAAAAAACTGGGTTTTTTCCTCGCTTTACATTTGCAACAAGTTTAGGTCTGCTTGCTAATTACAGCTGTGATTTAATTTAAAAGCCCTTCCCCCCCTGCGGCAGGTGCCCAGCCATGAGGTAAAGCAGGGATTGCATCACCAGCATGCACGGTGGTGCAGCAGAGTGGCACCAGCCACTGCAGGGGCTGCTGCAGCTCACACGTGCTGGGAGATGCTGAAGGGTTCCGGGGGATGGAGTGGGGCTGGGGGCACCTTGGTGACACTGACACCCTGGGCTGGCAGGGACGGGTCCAGTGGTGGCTGATGAGCAGAGCCCACCTGATGCCCCTGTCCTGGCACAATTGGGCCATGGGCAGGGCTCCCACACGTCACCAGGGGGTTTATTTTTAAACCTGGCTTTTTTGGGGCACACTTTCTGTTCTAGCTTCTCTACCTAGACTAGTCAGTTTAGCAGGAGTCACTTCCTCCCAGACTGGCCCACTGGGGTCAGGAGCCATCTGGGCTCATTCTTACCCACACCAGTGCCGTGGCCTGTGGGGAGCAGCTTTCCCAGGCTCGTGCCATGCAGGAACCCGTGAGTCACCACGGAGCGATTGCCTCACCCGGTGCTGACGCCAGCCCTGTCCATAGTCAGGTTTCACTTTTGTTCTCACACCTGGAAATCCCACACCTGGGATTTCTTGCTCCAAGCAAGGTTCCTTGAACCCAAGGAAGGGGCTCCATCATCACCACCTGTGCTGCTCTCCTGGCACAGCACCATCGGCAGCCGGTGATACTTCAGATTTTAGCTTTGCTATTTTTCAGATTCTGTGCTGCTTTAGTGTGCACTTCTGAGCTTCGGATTAGGGGATGGTGAGCTCTCTGCACAGAGTAGGAAGACTAAACAATTCCTTTTCTAGCTGGGGACCAAGGACAAATGATCCAAATCTCAGGCCCAAGAGCATAAACAATGGCAGAATGAAGAGAGAAATGCAGGATGGGACTTCATAACCTAAAGCTGTAATTGGACAATGAACACCAATATGCAAATGGAGCAGAACTTATAAAAGTGTGAGACCCGTGACCAGTTGTCCATTTTGTGACCATTTTGGTTCATCTTGGGTGTAGCCCTGGCTGGGCTCTTGTGCTGCCCAAGGTGGATCCATTGAGGAGATCCTTTTAGTAAATCCCTGCTTTATTCTTTAGCTCCATGTAGTCTCTGCTCTAGGTCAGCCTTCACAAGGCATCACTGTGGCTGGAATGATGATTGTGGTGGGTCCCCAGTGCCCTGTAGACTTTGTTGGCACAGTGTGATGTCCTCAGCCCATGCTGGCTTTGAGGAACTCTCCACTGCCAGGGCAGGAGCTGGCACTGGCACGGTTTGGGGGAGCTGTGGCCAATGCAGCCATCCTTTGCTGGCTGGGCTATGGAGGAGCGTGACATTTTTGGGCAAGACACACCGAAGCCCAGGATGGCAACACCCCATCCCATGAAGAAAAAGCCCTCACTGCTGCTCAGCCAGGTCTCTGGGGGCTCAGATATGGCTGGCACAAATATCTGAGCAGGGTGCTCAGGAGAGATCCTCATCCCTCCACCTCAGCCACCACGGGTGCCAGGGTCTGTGCTCATGGCCTGGCTTCGCCCCGCAGCTTTAGCTTTTCTTTGGTGCCTCTGAATTTCCTTTTGCATGTGTGAAGAGACGAGGTTTCGCTTTACTTCTCCAAACAGAAATGACACCTGGGAGAGAAAAGCCACAGCCATGGGAAACAGGAGCCAAAGCTGTCCCACGAAGATGTGATGCTGCTCTGTGACCCGACGGGTGACCCGAAAGTGTCTCGGCAGGGATCGGTGGTGTGGGACCGTGGTTGGTGGTGGATCACTCCTCTCTCACTGCGGCCACATTTATTTTACATCTGTTGGGATTTTCTGCTAAAGTGTCCTCTATTCCAGCTGAGCTGTGCCTGTTTGGATGACAGAAGTGGTCTTATTTATGCTGGTTTGGACTTGTATTTCACAGCTATATTGATCATGAACTTTGTTGTGTTGAATAAAAATTAATCTCCTGTGGGTTTCTTTAATGGGAGAGAAAGGAAAGACAGAGCAATTGTCCTGTTCACCATAAAGGCAGACAAGGGACCCCAGCCCACATCAGGCTCAGGCTTTTAATTACTGACCTCCCCATACCTGCTGCTGTGAGGGAGGCTGGCATGGGAGCCTGGTCCAGTGGCCACATCCATGACTGGAAAACCTGTGCCCACCATGCTCTGGGGCTTTGCTTTAGAACCACGTTTTGCTGTCCTGGCTCTTCTTCAAGTTGCGTCTGCATGGAGTTTGGACAAAATGGAATGAACCACTGTCCAATCCGCTGCCCCCTCCCATTCTTCATCTCCACTAAGGTTTTCCAGGAAAGATCGGAGCCCTCTGGGATGCTGTTGGAGCAGAGGAAGGGCTCAAGAAGGGTTGGATGGACCCTGTGAGTCAACAGCTGGTCCTGCTCGACCTCTTCATTAATTGAACATGAGCCAGGAAAGTGTCCTGGTGGGAAAGAAGGTGAATGGTATCCAGGGCTACACTGGGAGGAGTGTTTCCAGAAGGCTGAGGAAGGTGATTCCTCCCCTTTCCTCAGCACTGGTGAGGCCACTCCTGAAGCGCTGGGTCCAGTTTTGGGCTCCTCAGTGGGAGAGATACATGGCAGGGACTGGAGGAGTCCAATCAAGGTCATGAAGATGATGGACAGGAACATCTCTGCTATGAGGAAAGGCTGAGAGAGGAGGCTCAGGGGCTCATGGTGGTGTGACAGCACAGCACAAGCTGAACCAGGAAAAGTCCATCTGAACACAAAAACAGAGACTGTGAAGTGTCTGCTCCATCCTTGGTCACTGTCCTGGGCAGCCCATGCCAGCTGATCCTGCCAGAGCAAGGGTTGGACTGGATGATGTTGAGAGGTCCCAGCCCACCTCCATGACCACATCCATGTCACTCTGCTCACCCACAGGTGTACCTTTCCACATGCTTCCACAAGAAATTTTCTCCTTTTCTCGGGCTCACCAAAATCAGCACTTTAGTTCCAAATACGAACATTAAAAAATGGGTCCTCCCGGAGTGTTCTGTGGTCACCGTGCAAGGCCCTGCAAAGTCTATTTATGCCTTTTATTTTCTTACTGTCTTTGCTTCTCAGATCCAGGCACTGCCCTGATTTTTTATATTTAATGCTTGGTGAACGTGTGAGACTAAAAGCACAGCAGTGACCACCCACAGGAGGTTCCCTTGATGAAGGGACAGTTTGCTGAGAGGTGCTATTCCAGCTGTCAGCAGAGGGATGGCAATACACCGTGTTTGTGTCTCCAGGCTGAACAGGGAGGAAACCCCAGCCAGCTCCAGTGGTTTTTAGGGTGGCAGCCCTGCTCATCTTCATCTCCCTCCACAACTGTGTCGCACCTGGAAAACTTCAGGTGGAAGTGCTTCTGCTTTCACCTTTTTCCTGGCTTTGGTGGTGAACCTGGTCCCTCAGGATAACACAGCCATAAAAGCTTATGCCTGCAGCCTGGACTGTGTAGTGCCCACTCCTGGCTGCTGCTTATGGCCCCAACCCACCATGCCCTTTCCCACAGGGAAACTGAGGCCAGAACTCCTGCTGCTACTCAGGAGGCACCAGAACCCTCCTGTCTGCTGTGAACCTGTTGTCCTCAGGTGTCCCCCACAGCTTTCAGCACAGGGTAGGGCTGGGTCCTGCTGGTGACCCCACCACTTGCCACCCCCAGCCCCAGCATCCCTTGGCATCCCGGGCTGAGGCGGAGCAGGCAGCAGGGCCAGAGGCAGCAGGGCAGGTAACGGAGGGGAGGGGAGATTCCCTGCACCACTTTCATTTTCTTGTTTCCAGCTCTGCCAGCCTGGGTTTTCCTACTAAGATGAAAGCACTAGGCAGGAATAAAAAGCCAGAGATGGAGCAGCAAGGCAGCTACAGCGAGCAAGGCAAAGCAGATCTCTGGGACAGCCACCAGCCCAGCATCTCCACGTCTGAACAAGCCACCTGTAGCACCTGTCAGGCACCTCTGCATCTGAAATTTAGCGAATCCTGCTCAGAGTTCTCCAGTTCATCCTCTCTGGCATCTTGCACCACAGCCGCCTCACCCCATCGTACTCTATTGCCGACTGTCAACCTTTCCTTGCCGAAATGTTGCACCCCAGCCTCACCCCACTGCTCGTGCTGGTGCTGGGGGTCAGCCTGAGGGCTGCCTTTCCCCATCACACCCTGAATAAGGACTGCAGGCTGTCCAAGTACCAGAACATTGTACAGGAGGAGCAGCAGGCTATGGACAAGATGAGACAAGAGTTTGTGAGTACTGCTGGCAACAGGGGGCTGTGGGCTGGCAGGGGTCAAGGCAGAGGGGATGCTGAATTCAAGAGCTGAGTGACAAGGTGCATGTTTTCTGCAGCAGTTTGGGGATGAGGAAGATGTTTTCCAAGGGTATTTGGGGACACGAAGGATGCTGAGTCAAATTTCATCCTGGTTTCAGAGCCCTCAAGGCTGGCCGGGGTTGTCCAATATAGCCAGAAGTCACGATGAGAGTTTTTCAGTTTGTCTCTTGGTTTATGCCTGCAGGTGAACAACCACAAATGCAACACCAGGCTCTTCCACCGGAAATGGAACGCAGTAGACCTGCCGGTAAGAATGAGGTGATGCTGTAAAAAGGGGGCACACCTCTCCTGTCCGCCGGTTCCACCCACCCGCACCCCCGGGCCAGCCCTGCTGCTTCGGGTCCCTAACCAGGACACTCCCACCCACAGATGTCCGACCGAGTGGTGCTGGTGGCGGCTGAGCTGAACCTCACCACTGCCATGCTGGAGCTCCCCGCTGCCCCCAGCTTTGCCGAGGTGCGCCGGCGGCCGCTGGACTTCTTCAGGCACGCCCGGGAGGACGTGCGGGGCTGTGTGAGTGTTTCCCCGAACCCTGTCCGCGCCGGCTCCGCGGGTGCCTCCCGAGCCCTGTCCGCGCCGGCTCCGCGGGTGCCTCCCGAGCCCTGTCCGCGCCGGCTCCGCGGGAGCCTCCGGGCCCTGTCCGCGCCGGCTCCCCGGTGCCTCCCCGAGCCCTGTCCGCGTCGGCTCCGCGGGTGCCTCCCGAGCCCTGTCCGCGCCGGCTCCGCGGGTGCCTCCGGGGCCTGCCCGGGCCCTGTCCGCGCCGGCTCCGCGGGTGCCTCCCCGAGCCCTGTCCGCGTCGGCTCCGCGGTGCCTCCCCGAGCCCTGTCCGCGCCGGCTCCGCGGGGGCTCCGCTCCTCACCCGCCGCTCTCCTTGCAGGTGGATCCTTCGCACCAGCCCTCGGGCAGGCTGAGGCACTGGCTGCACAAGCTGCAGGCGGCCATGCGAGCAGTAAGTCGGGCCGGCGGGGTTCTGCAGGCTTTTTGGGGTGTCAGCGCCCGAGCCCCCGCTGCAGAGCTGACCCAGCCCATCTTCCCCCCGCAGGAGACCCCCGAGAGCACGGCGTGCCTCAGGGCCACCGCCATCCTGCACGTCCTGCAGGTGCTGGACAACCTGCGCTGCGCTGCCCTCCAGGACAAATGCTGCCGTGCTGGGGTGAACTGCTGAAGTGCTGAAGTGTTGAACTGCTGAAGTGCTGAAGTGCCCTCAGTCCCCAGCCCGCGGCACCGCCCCCGGGGACGCCCCGAGAACCGGGAAAAAACCGCTGCGCTGCGCTGTTACTGCCTATTTAACCACCTATCTAACCCCCTATTTAACCCCCTATTTAACCCTTCTTCTCACTTACGCGAGCTGATGAAATAATTTTTTCTTTTTTTTCCTTTTCTTTTTTTCTTTTTTCTTTTTTTTTTTTTTTTACGGTCTTTTAAATTATTGGCTTGGGATAAGGCGAAGTAATGCCCTTCCCGAAAAAAATGCGAATATTGCGTATTTATAAGGTACCTTTGTTTTTCTTGTTCTGAACGTGTTTTTAAGGAAATCTATTTTTTTACCTGCTATTTATTAAAGAGTATATTCTGCATACTTGCCTGTATAAATTATTTTCTTTTGTGCTATTTGATACGGAAACTGAATTACTTAACTGAACTACCATAAGCACGTGTTTTTAGTATGCGTTTCTGCAATACCATAGTACAGGTGTAGCCCGCGCATCCTTGCAAGGATATTGCCCAAAAGGAACCTCTTCTCGTTTAATCTGGGGGCGGGGAGAGGAAAAAAGCCTGGATGTTGGGTTTCTTGGAGAGCTTTAATAGCTTCTGTCGCTCGGCCGCGCCCCAGGCGCTGCCCGTGCGCTGCCGCCTAACGCCGGGAGCAGCGCCCGGGGCAATGAAAATCCAACCGGAGGGAAACGCCCTTTGGGCCAACACCTCCCAAGGGCGGGGAGAGCCCCGAAGGCGTGGCTGGAATTCCCCATGGATTCCGGGAGCGGCTGCTCGTTCTCCCGAAACGCCGGGCTGCAGGGAAGCTTTGCTCTGTGAGCTCGGGAGCAGATGCCACCAATAGCTCCTTTGGGAGACACCTCCTGGCCCTGCTCCCGATTTCACCGCTCGCTTCTGAAGTTTGCGAGGAATCCCTCTCTGGGACCTACGTACAGCCAGCAGCTGTGCGAGGAGGATGTTTCTCGGACGTTTCTGTCCAAAGGCGCCGTGCTGTGTTATCCAAAGGACACATGGATCCGGAGGGACAAGCCTAAGGAGGGAAGAAAGGGCTCTAAGCAGCAGTTCTGTGCTGGTGTAACCGGATTTCTTTTTGGGGAAGGGGCACTGGTATGGCTGCAGTGAATGTTCAGGATTCAGGGGGTATTTCAGTAGCTGTCTGCCAAAATTCCCTTGTCAGGTCTGCCCTACCACACCTTCTCACCTGGGTGCTGCTTTCATGGCTAAGTTTTGGTTCTCTTGCTTAGTGAACGCTACCAAATGGAAGAACGTAAAATTTATGCACCTGTTTTACAGATGATTAAACAGAACTGTGAAAATTTTTGAAGTTTTTGGGCAGTCTAATTACGATACCCAACTATTCACTCTCCATTACTAAATGCACTCTTACAATAATTTTTTACACATATTCTATCTGGTGGACTTGGCCTTCTATATGATTGATATTTCTATTTGACTGATGTTATAAATAACAAATATAGTTATTGGCTTTTGCCTTTATGTATTAGCTTTTGCAAATTGTTGTTGATCACAAAAATCCTGATATAGTACAATTTGTAATTACTGCTTTAGATATAGTATAATCTGTCCGTTTATGTATGCACTGTGAAAAACACCAATCACTTGTTTTTTAAAATTTTAAATGTTTAATAATAATAAAATGGTTATAAAAATAATAATACAATTAGAGTAATAAAGTTTAGAGTTAGGACAATTACAAGACAATAAAAAGCAAAGAATTACGGACGTCCAGATGCTCTTGGACACTAAGTCATGAAAAGCATGACTTGTGAACAAAGGAATCACCCTTAAACCAACACACTTGTTGCATATTCATACATCCTTCATGGTTATGCATACATTCTATTCTAAACAAGAAACTCTGTCTGTTGTATGTCAGCTGTTTCCTTTAATCCCCTGGCATCTTCGAGTCTGAGCAAGGCCTGAAGAAATTAGCTTCTTCTGATAAGAAACCATAAATTCCTTTTCTCTGGAAGATTTACGTGTTCCTCAAAGCAAGTATCTCATTCCTAAAAAAAAAACTTCCCCACATACATAGTCTCTATTTTAATATTATGTTGGAACCTAAAACTACACTTAACCCAATACGTAAGAGAATTAATACAGCATAATGTTCTAACATTACACATATAGTATTCATTGTAACATTTCTGAAAAGCCAATCATAAATATGCATTTTTCATATGCATTTTTCACATGCACCATATAGCTTTTATAAATAGTAGTGTAATATATATTATCTTAGACTGTAGCATAATAGACTGTGAAATGTTAAAATGCTTCTTCATGTAACCAACTCAGAAAATGGTGTAAAACAATTAAGTGATTTCCCATATTAGGGACTATCTTATCTGAAAGACAAGATAACGGAAACAGAAACCAGAGTAGCGAATAAAATAGAAGAATTTATTAACCCCCATTATCAGGGAGTGAAAATACAACAGGATGGAACCACAAGAAGAAATAAAATATATTAAGTTAATCTACAAGATAGCATGAAGACAAGTCAAAAGTTAAAACCAAGCAAAAGAACATCTACACTCAAAAGAATGTTTGAATATGTATAAAATCTTATGAATATGCATGTACTCACTGTAATGTAACAGTATGTAGAGAACATGGTTTAAATTTTTATTTGCTTTTTTTATTTTGGCAAATAGCCAAACACCCCAGTGCTGTATTTTATCCCTTTTATCCCTTAATAAACTTTTATAAAAATTTTAATTAATGAGTCGTGTTTCTTACAATTGACTATTGCATATTGACATTATTGACACATGGATTGACTGTTCCATCTGATTCACTGGTTTTTCCACTCATCTGCGGCTGGAATGTACAAATAGTCGATGAATTTCAGCAGGAACCAAGGCAAACGCTGCAGCCTGGCTAAGCTTTGCTTTTGAAATCATCCTGACAATTGCTGGTTTTTCTCCCTCTCGGTGTGTTCCTATTTCCCACTGACTCGGTGTAATTTATGTTGTCCCCTTTCCACAGCAGTGTGAGGGCACAGGAAAAGAATGGAATTTATTGGAAATGGCCAGGAAGGCGGTGGGATCGCCATCCCTGGAGGTGTTTAAGGAACGACTTGTTCCTTAAAGAGGATCGGGGTGCCGCGGTCTGGGTGACACGGTGAAGATCCGTCAAAGGTGTGATCTCAGAGGTCTTCCCTAACCATAAACCTGTGCTTGTGTTTACAACAGGTGATAAAATTCAGCCTGGGGACAGATAACTCCACAACACCATCTCCCCTCAGGCACTGCCCCAACATGGCGGCGCCGCCTGAGGGGGCCCCCCACGGCAGCCCCAACATGGCGCCGCCCTCCTGGCGGCTAACGGCCTCCACGCCGCCCGCGACAAACTCTCGCGAGATCGCAGCGGGGGCGCCCCCGGCCCCGCCCGAGCTCTCGCGAGATCTGCGCTGTGGGAGGAGGAGGAAGAAGAGGAGGGAGGCGCCGCCGCCGCCGCCGCTGCTGTCCCGGGCCGGCGCCGGGGATGGTGTTGGCCGCGGCTGCCGGGCCCTGACGCCGCCTTCAGGTACGTGCAGGCTGCCCCTGGCTCGGGCCTGGCCGCTCCCGCTGGCCCCACGTCTGCCGGTCCGCCAGGCCTCGGCTCCCGGCGGGCTCCCCGTGCCCGGCGGAGGGGCTGCCCTGGCTCCGGGGGAGCTGCAGGAGTCCCCGGCCTTTCGCTGCCTTACTCAGAAATGAGCACAGCACCTCTCCCTTCCTCCTGTGCCTCCGCGGTAAAGCTTTGCCTGCGATCTGATAGTGCTTTCTCGCTGGGTTTCAGTAGAATTTGGGGTGCAGCCGAAGCGAATAATTTCTTTTCTAGACTGCTCCTCTTGGTTTTCCTGGTTGTTTGGGATAAGTTGTAAAGGTATTTAGGCATTTAATGCCCATCGAAGTTGAATTTATTTAAAATCAGCGCCTAAAAGATGAGAGTATCTTTGAGGGGACAGCTGGTCTGCGGCTTACAGGTTTTTGTTTGTTTGGTTGGTTTTTTTTTTTTTTTGTTTAATTTATGGCCGCATTCATTACTTTTCAGCCTCCTGCTACCCCCTTTTATTTTTTTCCCTTTTTTTTTTTTTTTTAAGCAGCTGTTGTTTCTTCATTCTCCAGGGAAAAATGAAGCGTTTTGTTCTGCTTATTCTTTCTCCCTCCGGGGTGAAACCTACAGTTTGTTTCGGTTGAGCCAGCTGGATTTCCTACTTACCCTGGACTGTACTTTTGTTTTTAAACATACATCTTGAAGCTGTCGGCTTCACATCACTTGTCAGCGCCAGGGAGCTTGACCTTCGTGTAGATCTCACCGGAGTTTCCTGCTGTTAGGGACTGTTGTGAAATACATTTTTTCTTTTTTTAAGCTTTGTTGCTCGCTTTTCTGTTAAGCTCTTCTCAATCTCTAAGTAAAGACTATACCCTGGCTTTTTGCATTTTCCCCCTGTTTATTTGGTTTAATTAATTCATATGACTTAAAATATAAGCAGTTCCCCTACCACTTTAGCTGCTGGGGAGCCTGAAGGGTTTGGGTTTTGTCAGCACCGTGTTGGTTTTAGCCAAAATATTCAAGAAGGAGGAGTTGCCTTCAGCTGGGAGTAGCGTGAAAACATACGAAACCGTGACAGATTGGATCTTTTGGCTTCATGACTTTAGCATTCTGAGCACCTTTTACTGTAATTAATTTATCAGTGTGGTTATTTTCTAGAGTGGATGGCTGGCACAGCAGAAGCATCTCTTCATTTCAGTTACTTGGTTTCTATGTGTTGGGTTTTTTTAGCGTTGTGCAGCTGTGTAGGTGTTTGCACTGTTTGCAGCCTCAATCCCTTTCTGGTGCCCTGGGAGCTGTCTCAAAGCTCACTTCCTAGTTAGAGTGTTGTTCCAGGAATCCCTCCCCTTTCTCCTTTTTATTTATTTTTTCTTTTGGCCAGCCAAAAGGCAGCTGTGAATGTTGTCCTGGGAGGTGTGCAGGAGAGTAGGGGGTATTTTCACAGCTGGTCTTTCGGAGGAGCAGTGTCAGGCAGTGAATGGGGTTGTAAACATTGATGTAAGCCTGACCTCTCTCCAGAAAACTAAATTTTCTCTTGGCCTGATGCACTGCACCCCCCTCAGTATCCCCAGCCCAAACAAGCTCATTCCTCAAGTGCTGTGGGCCATCCCCACCTTTCACCACCTCGCTGTTACCTGTGTGCAGGTCCTTCACTCCTTATTCAGCTGGTGCCTTGAGAGGCTGCCCTAGAACAGAGGCTGGACAGAGCTAAAGAATAAAGCAGGGATTTATTAAAAGGATCTCCTCAATGGATCCACCTTGGGCAGCACAAGAGCCCAGCCGGGGCTACACCCAAGATGGACCAAAATGGTCACAAAATGGACAACTGGTCATGGGGTCTCTCACTTTTGTAAGTTCTGCTCTATTTGCATATTGGAGTTAATTGTCCAATTCCAGCTTTAGGTTATGAAGTTCTATCCTCTTTGATTTTCTCTTTTCAATTCACAGTTGTTTATACCTTTTGGGCCTGGAGCATGTAACAGTTGTCCTTGGACAAGCTGGAAGAGGATTGTTCTGTCTGCCTACCCTGTGAAGAGAACTTGCTAGCACTTAATATGCAACTCGGAGTTACACACTAAAGCAGCACAGAATCTGAAAAATACAAAAGCCAAAACTTAAGGCATCACAACCCCCCTGAGCTGTTTTCCTCCTCGCCCTGGTTTCTGGTGACTGTCCTGCCCTCTGTTGTGTTCCAGGTGGGAAGCAGCAGTAATGCTAACTCTGGCAAGCAAGCTGAAGCGGGATGATGGCGTCAGAGGCCCCCGTGCATCCAACCCAGCGTCTGACTCCACGCGCAGGGTGTCTGTCCGGGACAAGTTACTCGTTAAAGGTGAAACAGTATCTTGAAATTTGTTGGGATTTACTGCTTTTGGTGTGTTGCCAGTGAACAGCACTGAATTGCCTCTAAGTTTCCACAGGTATTTTTCAGATGTCTTTAGGATGTGGCAGTGGCTCTCTGGTCACAGAGAGCAGCAGACAACTTTCCCAGGCATCGTTCTGGGAAAGGCTGTGAGAAGATCAGAGAAAGAATGAGAAAATTTCTTAGGTGTACTTGCTGCACCTGGTATTGTGAACATGTGGAATGTGTTACAGAGATTTGTTTGCCAAAGGGTGGTTTCTTAATTAGCCGATGGTGATGGGGTTTTAATTGAAGGACCAATTAGGTCTATCTGTAGTGAACTAAGGTATGAAAAAGCAATGGGTTTCTTTATAAAGAAAACTGTTATTAGCCTTCTGAAATACATGGAGCTTATGTCACTTATAACCTGACTGGGGACCCCTTGTGATGACAATAGAACACTTATTTTTATTGAATAATGACAGTAAAAACAAATATCCTCTTAACTCTGTTGAAAATTAGTCCATCAATTAAAACATAAAAAATTGCCACATAAGTGGCATTGAATGTAGAAGAGGAGAATGTCAAAAGAATTATATTTCCCTTGGTATGAAGGTGGTTTTTGAGCAAAACCATAACTGCCTGTTACAGAAAAAAACGTCCTGAAAGTCACAGCAGTGTTTTGGTGCTTTTAATGGCACACGTCAGAGGTAGCACACTTTAAAAAGATTTCAAAAAGCGGTGCAGAGGGAGATTTTTCTAGGCCTGGAGTCACTATAAGTTGAGTTTGAAGCTGTGAATAATAAACCAGTGATTATATTGCAGTGTGGTGTGTTTTAGGAAGGATGCTGTAGGTTTTTACCAGCTGGTGGAAAAGAAGCCCCAAACCTACTGCTTAACAGTTGTGGATAAGTGGGGTAGTTAAAGAGACAATAATTAAACTATTCTATTGTTAAATCAGGGACAGATTTGAAGTCAGGTTCACTCCCTCTGGTAATAGTTGAATGTTAGTGCCAAAGGAATGCGTTGTTTAGATTGAAGTTTCTGCTGAAAATGATCAGTAGCAAATACTCTGCTGTTGGTGTGTAAGCTGCCACTGTTGGGATTCATGCCAGTCAGAGGAAATCCACATTTCCTGTTCTTGTTTCAGAATGATTTGAGGCTGACACGGCTGTAATTGCCTCACTGTTACTACCTAACTAGCAGTGCATATGGCTTTTTCCAACTTAGGGTAAATTCTGTCAGATATCTGGAGCAAGGTATCACTGTAAATGCTGCTGCCTCAGTGCTCTGGGAGGTTCCTCAGCTGGTCTGTGGGAATGTTGTATCCACAATTTTCTCCCTGTATTGTTTTAAGGACAGGGGAGTTTTACATGCTTTAAATCATGATTTTGATCACTCTTACACTTCCAGTTTGGAAATCCTCATTTAACTTCAGATCTGAGGGGGAATGATTCAGGCAGGAGAAATAAGCTCTTTAACCAGGCTAAGCTACAAAGCCAAATTACTAAATATATATAATCTGAGATTTTCCCTAACCTACAGGTATAGACTTGAGGGGGAGATAGCAGTGTGAAATAAACACCCTTCATGTGAGGTGCCAGAGAAATTTTTCTCTACATTTAAAGCAATCATGTTTTTCAAAATTATACCCAAGTCTGCAGGGGAGGAAGAGAATGCAATCTGTAGAAAATTAGTATTGACATTGTAATTGTAGTTGCTGTGGCTGTGATAGCAAACCAGCTATCTAAGTAAAACTAAGTATTTAAACTCAGTAAGTTCAAGCTAAATACTGAACAGTCCCAGACTGACAAATGTTGAAAGCAGGTCAGTGCTCACATGGCTCTGACAAGCATTGAGTGCTGGGTCCTGATCTGATTGTGTGTGGAAGTTGCATCCCTGCTGTGAAATGAGTGGTGTGGGTTGCTTAAAGAGTCACCATCAAAGGCATTGGTGAAAATGTGCCTTAATATAAATTTGCAAAAGCACAACAGAGGTTGTTGGCAGGGTTTACACTACTGCTTACTGCATGGATAATACATGTAAAGGAAAATAAGAGTCAGTTTAGAGTGATATATGCAGAGGCTGGAATGAAAAGAGGAAAGGGAAAAAGGTAAAGGAAACTCTTGGTTGAGTCAGGAGGTTCAGAGTGAAATCCCTTCCATTCTAAACTCCTCAGGGAGGAGTCTCAGTGCAGCTGGACCCAGTCTCAGGCTTGGACTCAACAGTTATGTGTAAAAGATGTAGCAGAACTTAATCATAAAAGCAATTGAGTGTTATATTAGTTATTAATCAGCTATAAACATAATATAGATTCAAGATAATAAGATATATACTGTTTTATAGTGTTTTCAAGTCATGCACACACAAAAGATATATATACATAGATATACACACAAATGTGCAAAGGTAACATACACATGTATGGATGTGTATGTATACATGGGAAGACATATTAAAAAATTCCCCCCCAGAATCAATGAAATAGTCCTGTTTATTCCTTTTTGGGGAATTTTTTTCAGAATTACTGAAATTCAAGTGAGAATGGTACCATTTCACTCAGGCTATACTTCAGCCAAGGAATGTCCCAAAGCCATCAGGGAGTGACTGATTATTCCTACTCCCATCTCCCACCTTGTCCAAGCAGCAGGAATTCCTGGTACAGTTGAGGAATGCTTCACCACAGCTCTTGTGCAAAGGCCAGGGCCTGATAGGAATTGCTGAAATTGCAGAGCAGGCCAGAGGCTGGGAGGGAGGATGCAGCATGATGGTGCTCTCCCAAAAGAGCTGTGGGAGCAGCTGTCAGTGTGCCGAGGGTGATTTCTGGGTGAAATGGGAGCTGACAGGAGAAGCAGATTATTCCAGTGTAACTGCTGAAAGTGAGAGGGTAAAGTAGTGGGAAAGACTTGTTGGGGGTGTTCTGTTTTAAGCTGCTTAAGTTAAATGTAGACCATTTGTTTACGAAAGTTTCTAGAATTTGCTCCAACACTTTCAGGTAGATCAGCTGCAGCAGCACATACAATGGTGAACTCCTGATACTGATGGTGTTTCTAGGTCATGTAAAGATTGCAGGATGAGTTTGGACAGGAGTGCAGAGCTGCCTGCTAAAGGTGTGCACACAGCAGGGATGCTGCTGCAGCTGGATCAGCACCAGTGCTTTCATTGCTTGTTTGTGGAACTGTAATTTGAATTTAGGCTGTTGTACTGGATCTCAAAGCCCATAGGAACCTGGAAGAGTAGCTGTAAGTAGAAGTTGTCACTGGTGTGTGTTTTGGCTGGAGTTAGAAACAGGCGACAGTGGCAGAACAGGGGAAGGGCTCCATCAGGTCAGTGTCCTGGCAACAAGTAAGAAAATAATTTCTCTTGCATAAAAGAAGAGAAATCCTGGCCTTCAGAAGGGGAGGAGGAGGAGATGAGAAAAGGCCCAGAGTGTTCTATCCCTGCTCCACAGTAAATGGGGGATCATCTAATAAATCCTGGAGATGGATGTCTGCCAGCTTTGCTAAGGGTATTGTCCAGACACAGACTGTTGTTTTTCTGGAGATAAATTGCAGACAGCCTTGTTTGTGCTGATAGGGAGTCCAGTGCAGGATCTCTCAGGGGTGTGTTGTCACACTGATAGCCCTGCAGCCCTCAGTTGTGTTGTGTCCTCTGCCTGGTCAGTAGATCAATTCTGTTTTGATTGAGGTGATGACCATGACCCCAGCCCCTGACAAGTGTAGATGATCCTTACAAACATTTGAAGACTTGGCATAGACCAAATGCATGCTGCCTGAAATTAGGAAAAATAAGTGCTAATTTAGGTATGATAGCCATTTGCACTGTGGGTGTGAAGAAACATCTCAGTTGGTGTTTGAAATAGTGGTGTCAGACACTGACCTTGACTTTATTGATGGATGTATGTTAAACAGGCTTTGTTCCACTTCTGGGGAAAAGCTGCTCTTAAAACACTGCTCTTTGTTAGTTTTTGCTTAAGTTGTTCCTTGGGCTGCTTGTATCCAGCATTGTCACAGATTGAGATATCAGTCATGGCTCTGGACACTTGGGCTATTTTTTGGACGTATTATGAATGGAAATCTCTCTATCACTGAAGTTTTATATCTAGGGAAGTAATTCTGAGTCATTTGGATATTCTCTTCCAGCTGTAGAGAGGGTCTAGTAAGACACAGCTTTGTTCAAAATTCTGTGTGACTCATCTGTACATCTGTTTTCACTGCATTTCTGTCTAGGCTCAGTTGGAGAATAAGGCCCTAATTCTGTAAGCTTAGTATCCAAATTAAAACAGAGCAAGCAGTACAATTGCTTCAGCAGCTTTCATTTTGTTCTGTGCTGCAGAGGCAATTTTTAATGTTCTGTTCATCTCTAAGGGGAACTTCATTAAGCTGGGAGCAGGGGCCACATGACTGCTCCTCGTAGGGAGCATGCAGTGCTGAACTTGAAAGGCAAATCCTGAAATTTAAAAAGGGCTGAGGACAAACCAAAGTAGTGCTTAAGATTACTATTACACAATGAAGGTGACTGCTAAATGGAATTGAAGATAGAGAGCATCCTGGATGGCAGTAGCAGCTCATGGATCACAAAGGTTGTCCCTTACACTGCATTTTTGGTAGTGCACAGAAACGTCATTATTCACTTTTATATTACTACTACTGCTTAGTTTGATTATGGCAGCTTGAAATAACTTAATATACGTGAAAATGAGTTAACAGGGTTTATTCTTTGGTTATCTTCAATATCTGTAGCTTTTACCACCAGATTTATGTAACCAGAAAATATTTTGTGTGCCTCTGTTTAAGTCTGAGAGAGTGGAAGGGGGAAACTGATGATGAAAGCGAGGTGAATATCCGTTGTAACTAAAAATTAGAGAAACCATTTATTTGCTTTCTTCAAGCCTTCAAAAATAGTAATATCCCTCCTCACAAAAACAGGTGAGGAAAGTTGAGAGGGGAGAAAATACTTCTTTTCCTTATACTGGTCTATACAGTTCAGAGGAACTAAGTAGGGAATACTATAAAGACAGATGGATAAGAATTAGGAGGCAAACAGCATTTCCAGAATTAATAGAGTATTAGAATTAGTACTTAGAAAATGGAATTTTTATTAATGTCAAAGTATTTAATCTTCACCTCTGGAAGTCTTAAAGAAGGAAATTGAAGAGGGACCTAAACAGGAGAGGGGGCTTTTTTGAACAAAACAAGCGAAGTAATGCTGCTGTGGATGAGACTGCTCACTTGAGGAAGTAATGCTTTTTATTTGGTGTACTTAAAACCAAACTCCAGCTCCAAAATCAAGCATAGAGTCTGACTTTTGTGGGAGACTTAGTAAACAATGTGCTGCTAAATTCTGGCTTGGGGAAGTGAGGGAGCAGAGCAGTGGGGTTGTGGTGTGTGCATTGAACATTCATAAACCTTGTACACACAGCAGGAGTGTTCCTATTTCTGTCTGGAGAACTGTCACGGGTAGGGAGAGTTATTGTTTGTGAAATCATTTATAAATAACTCTGGTTGCTTGTGTTAGGCTTAGAAGCAGCTCAGGAACTGTGTAGAAGAGAGAAAAGCTGAGACACAATTCATTTGCATTCAACTCTGGCAGTGTTTGTGTTGGGTTTAAGCCTTGCCTTTTTATGGTTTAAAGCAGCATTTGGAACTGTTCAAGCAGGTGTGTTCTGGGTAAAGAGCAGGTCTGCGCAAGCTCATCTCCACTTGGGCTGCTCCTGCAGCAGATCACACCAGGCTTTGGGAGCACCAGATGGACTGTTTAGAGTTTCCTGCCACTTGGGTTTTCTGGTTGTCTCCTGATCTTAATGGTGTGAATTGAGACACAGATGCAGATTCTCCACGAAATGACCATGGAAAATACTCAAACTGAATTTTCTTCACTGTTTAGCTGTAGTGACAGTAATTTCTTGAAAGAGGAGCTCAGAAAAACTTTTAAGTTTGTGTGGGAAATGGATTTGTAAAGAATTTTTAAAACTTTCTGTCAAGTTTATACAGTCTTGTATATTTGTGTGTAAACACTGAGATAAGATGTGTTGACTTAGGGAGGTTATGGAATAGAGATGACATTGTTGAGAGAGAGATGGAGCTAGAAATAAGTTTTAACAAGTTTTAAAAGATGGACTTGTAGAAAGACTAGATATTTTAGACAATTAGAATTGCGAGAGATTGTTGTAGGACTACATGAGAAAAAATATAGGTGATTAGTGTTAGAAGTAATAGTAGTATTGTGGGGTAAAAGTTAATAGGTTGATAAATGTAAGGTATTGTAACTAGGAAATAGGTTAGAAGAAAGTTTGTTCTTTAATTTAGTGGAACTTTAGGAGCTCTTGGAAGTTCAGTGCATTGGAGCTCTGTCACTTCCATACTTTGCTCATTTACAGAGCTGTTCAGTGAGTTGGCAGCCTGCACAAGGGGCATTTTCTTTCAGAGAATGCTCATGCCAGAGGTATTGATTTATAGAAAATGTGTGAGTTAAAACGTCAGAATCTCAGTGGAGCTTGAATGCTCTGGTCAAAATGTTTGCTTTCTGAATAGCAACATGCAGAAATGGTTCTAATGTCCAGAGAGACACAGAATTTGGAAAACCCTCAAACACTGAGCTTTGGCCTGTTAAATGTGCTTGTTAATTGGTGAATCACCAGTGTTTGCTCACATGGCACAATTAATAGTAACATCTGTTGCCTTACTTGATATTGCTTTAGACATTTAAATTATTGAAGCAGATATTTATCTGCTTTGTTTTCAAGAAGTTGTTTCATTCTTAGTTTCAGTGGTTTGTTGTAGAGTTCATTTGAAACCTCAATTTTGGTCCATTTGCCTTTGTTTCCAGAACTTTTGTGTGGGTTTATTAGCACAGCATTCCTACCTGTTTTCACACCTTCAGAGAAGGAGCACAGTGCTCCCTTCTGCTGGGTGTGAGCATTTTGTTTTCGTGTTTTCATGAGAAAAAAACACTCATTCTTGTGCCAGGACAGAGAGAAACACAGGAGTGTGAACACGTTACAGGGAATTTCCCACATTCAAAGGAACTCTGATGATTTTAAACTCTCTACTGAGCCTTGAAGGAGGCAGAGCTGCTCAGCTCAGCCCTTGCTGGGACTGAGCATGCCTTAAATGCCTCCCTTTCTGGGATCAGGAAAGGGCATGCAGGATTCATTAAGGTGAACATCACACAAGGACAGAAGGCAATAAAGAAAAGCAGTCAACACCTTAAAATAATTGAACCAGGTCCTAAACTTTACACTGTAGTGAAGATTGATGTGCCTCCCACTGTGAAAGGCTGGTGAATTTAAAGGAAGGTGTGAGGGAATAATCTTAGGAAAAGTTTTCGTAGCTGCAGCTTTCAGGGGTTGCTTGTCACATCTTTTTTTGTCAACCAGGAAGGGAAAATTGAAATAAAGTCCTTGATTACAGCTGAAATTACATTTTTGTGTGTGTGTTTTATAAAGACAGTGCTTTAGTAAAAGTATGGTTCCAGTGTTGTCTTTCAGTGCATGGCTTTGGTTAAATCAGCTCTGGCTGCAAGTGTGGGATTTTAAAAGAGTGAAGTTGTGAATATTTTAGGTAAGTGGGAAGCACAATGCTTCTGTTTTGGTGTTTTCTTCTCTTGGTGTAGTAGGCTGCAGATGCAGGGTGTACCAAGCATAAGGGAGATGGGAGTCAAATAAGTGGGAGTCATTCCCACTGCAGAGAAATGCCAGGTTTGGTAAGCATGGATGGCAGGAGCAGGTCTGGAGAGTTAGTGGGAGTTGTGATGAGATCAGTTTGGGTTCAGTGCCAGGAATTGTGAATGACAGTTTTCTTCAGATATGTGTTTTTTGAGAGTGGGAAATAAAATCTAGCATGTTGTCAGCCCAAATAAATGGGCTGTGTCTGTGGAGGCCTGCAAGCAAAGTTAGAAATGGAAAATAAGACCACAGGAAAAGCCAAAAATATATTCCATTTTATTTCCTAGGACTTTAGAAGTAAAGGAGGAGATACCTTGGTGCATCTGGTTCATAAGAAATTGAAAGTAAGACTTCAATAAAATACACAAAACCAGGGTTTCTCCAGGGAAAGTGACTTGGCAAGCTTAGGAATACACTTCATTTCCTGGGGGCTGTGGAACAGAATCAGGATGGTTCCTTTCTTTTATGAATTTTAAGCTCAGGAAATAAATGAAAGGAGACTTTAATTGAATAGGAGTGCATATCAGTAACAAAACCTGTGCTTTGGAAATGCCAGTGCTGTGTGGTAGCAGCCCTGGTGCTTCAGTCTTGGCATAGCTGAACTTCCCATCAAAGTAGGATGCATTTGCCATGTCTGTAGGGTAGATGAGCATTTTTAGTAATGAATTGTGTGGCTTAAAGAGAAATTTCAAGGTAAACTTCCACTGCAGATTAATTATATTTTAAGTAAAATTGGATTTACGGGTTGGTTTAAATTAGATCTGCCAATTTGAACTTGAAGAAGGGATTAAAGCTTGCATAAATAATGGTTTTGTTTCTTTTTTTTTTTTTTTTTTTTCCAACAGAGGTTGCAGACCTTGAAGCTAATTTACCTTGTGAGTATAACATTTAATAGTATGCATTTTAAGTGGGGGAAGGAGCATTGAAGTGAACATTTTGACTGAAGTATGAATGCTGATGGTATTTGTTAACTCAGGGAAAACTGTGTAAAGCTCCACCACACTGCCTTGAACAGATTTTCTCTGTTGCTTCCTCTTGTGGGGCTGTGGAGAACTGGACTCTCATTAGTGTCCTTTGGAAGGAGGATTGATAATTTGCCTCCAGGTTTTGATTGCTGGGCAGTGGCAGCAAAACATTCATAAAATGCCCAAAAGGCTCCTTGGACTCAAGGGTGCAATTAGTGCCACACTCCTGTTTTTTCTTTATTCTCTCATTTTCAAAACAGGCGATTCTGATTTAGGGGCAGAGCAAATAGTTCAGCTCTCAGGGAACATGAAGTCAACCTGCAGTTTTTTCACTTCCAGGTGTTACTTGATAGTGAAAATACTCATGAAAACTAATTTTTTTTAAGAGAGATGCATATTCTCAAAAAAAAAAAAAAAGGCAAGATAATATGGTTTTGGACCTGGAATCTTACTTGAGATATAAGCCTTCTTTAAAGAGAATTTACATAAAGTAATTTTAGGTAAACTTTTTTTCTGTGTGGGTTCTGTTAGAGGGTAACAAATACCAGAGTGTGTGCTTTCAGTTACTACAATGTGATTGCTTTACTAGGGTTTGTGTACAGTTCTAGGTAGGTTTTTTCAGGCAAATAGGATTTATAACAATGATACTGTTTAGCTCCTTGGCTACAGAAAAGGAACAGCCAGCGTGATGCGTTAAGAAGCTAAAGACTGCGTAGTAGGGTGATAAAATAACCATGATAGACTTGTCTTCTCATGCCAGACAACAGTGGAGAACTCATTTATGATGTAAATTATTCTTTTGGTTCACAGGTACATGTAAAGTGAACTTTCCTGACCCAAACAAGCTCCATTACTTTCAGCTAACTGTAACCCCAGGTAATTTTTTTCAGCATGTTCCTTTTTTTTTTCTGCGTGTTGGTGTTTAGGAAATGTAATTCCAAGAGGAATTCCAATAAAGCATTTGGGTGAGGTGTGTCAGTCCCCTGGTGTTTGACCTGGAGAAGCAGTGGTGTGCACTTAATGGAGTGCCTGGGATGTTTCTGTAATCCAGTATTTTGAAGCCAGAGCAGCACTAGGTGTCACTGTTGCTGTTCGTTAGCCCAAACCAACTGGCCCTTCCTCCAGCAGAAATTTTGGGTGGTCTCTGTTAACGTGTCCATTCATGTGACTCCCTTTTGTGATGGAAAAATGAGTGAGGCTGCCTTGTGAGTGTAATTAAAAATAAATGCAAGAGCTAATCTAGAACTTTGTCCGTGTCATTCTCTGTAGGAGTTGTGCCCATGTTTACTTGGTGGGTGTCAATTCTGCTTGCACCAAATGCCCTTCACTTTACATGATGCTGCTTTATTTTATTTTGGAAAGGAGCTGACTTTACAGGAGCATCACTATGCAAATGAGTGATGTGTGAAAAAGCTGTCCTAACTCCAAGGTGTCTAAATCCCAGGAAGTATTTTGTCTGCTCTCTGCTGTGCAGCAGGATGCTGCAGGCAGAAACCAGCTGTTGAATGCAGAGTATGGGTTTTCTGCCAATGATTTTAATTAACATTTTGTTACTCTAAACATAGCTGCACAGCTGAAGTCTCTGCAGTTGCAGCCTGACCCAAGTAAACATCTATTTTCAGCTGTGCATAGTTCAGGTGTAGAATCTTGTGATCAGCCATAGTTTAGTGCTGTAAAGGCAGAGCACAGCACAGACCAAGAAAATCTTTGTAGTTTTCTGCCTCTATTCAGTACTGAAGTTTTCTCTAGTGTATGCTAAATCTTAGTTTTCCTTGAGGCAGCAGAATGGTTGTCACAGGAGTTTTATGGTTCAAGCAGGCTTGAGCCAACTCTTTTTGTATTGTCTGAACAATGTTGCATGAATCTTGACTTTGTTCTATGCAGTCACTTTGAATGTGGCTGCTCTTGAAAGGACAGTAAAAGAAGCTTCCTTAGGCTTTCACAGAAAGACTAATTTGAATAAGAAAATGAACTTGACCACCAAGCAGAAATCCTTTCAGGTCCCTTGCTCAGCTCCTCTCACGAAAACCTTTCTCAGCCCATATTTAATGTCACAAAAATATCCTGACAGGAAGTTTTTAATTTAAAATGATTTTGTAGAAAATCTTGATGAGGGTGACTGCTTCATATAATTGAAGAAATTCCAATCTCTGTATGCTCCAGTTTTCTGCAGTGCACCATCAGTGGATATTTAGCAGCACGCGCTAGAACATGGCTAAGACTTGGATTTTTCTGCTGCAGTGGATAAACTCCATGTTCCCAAGGCAGACGTTGCTGGTTTTCTCTGCTGTCTGAAGCTTCTCTTCCCTTTTGTCATTTGAAACTTCTGCCTTTGAAAAATACCCTTGTGCCACCACTTGCCTCTGTTCTTATTTTTGCACCTGTATCATATTGGATTAAAATCGAGGGAAAATAAGGAGATGGATGCTTAGAATCCAGGCTTGCTGCACTGATATTTGGACCACAAAATTGGAAGCTGAGGATTCAAACATGGTAATGACCTGGAGAAAAAGAAAGGAGGTGACTTTAGGTAGCTTCTGTGCAGAAACCCAGAAGAGTAAATGCAATTTCCCTGCAGTTCTCAGGCTGTTGGATGAGTCTGGGGTTGGTGTGGATATTTGAGTGCTACTCTAGGGGGATTAATAAAGGCCCTGTTTTCTGGTGAAATGCCCACAAATATTGGTGAGTGTGGCTGATTCAGGGAGCAACTATGCAAAGTGCATCCTTTGTGGCCTGCCCTAATTATCTTGCATTTTCTTCTAAAGTGAGGAAGTAATTTGGTTATTTTCCAGAGCACTTTCAGGCATTGAAACACCCTACAAACACAAGCTAAGATTAGTCAGGCTGTTGGTAATGAAACTTGAGACTGAAGTGGGAGGGATGCTTGCTCTGCTAATACAGCTTGAAGACATAAATTTAGGCAGTAGGAGGAAAACTGCGGCTCAGACATCTTCCCTTTTTAGCAAAAAGTCTAAGTGGCCAACTTCCTAAGTTATGTGTTAAAGCTGTTCCATTTGATGGGTTTATTTATAGCTCTTTCCTCACTGTTAACTCTGCCAGAACTTCTTTCCCACCACTTTTCCATGCCTAAAAAATTGAGGATTTCTCTCCCGGTCTGAGAACCTATTTACTTGAGATGCTGAAATATTACTTCATTGTGAATTATCTTGTTAATGCAGTGCAAGATTTCTGGCTTGGTACTGAGGCTCTCCAGAATTTTTAATATATATTTGAGTGACTGGTAATGAGTAGCTTTATTGTTGCTTTAGGAACACAGAGGCAGAATTGTATAAAAGAGGGGAGGAGAGATGTCTTGCTCTCCTAATTGTGTAAATATGTCCTTGCTTATTTGATAGCAGAAGCTGTGGGGTTTAGATTACCCAGTGTGGTTTTTGATTAGTGATTGGTGACAAGGTAAAACCAAAATATAAAATGAGTTGTAATGTGAGGCAGTGATGAATATTGAATTGTCTTGGAGGAAGGCTTAATCTGAAAGTTCTTGAGTGTTTCTGTTGGACAGCCATTGCAGTGAGTGTTCATGAAACCTGGGGATTTTCTTTGACATAAAACACACGTGGATACATCCATCAGCAGGCATTTATTTAATTTTAGCAGGGGTGGAATGTGAAGAGCTGCTGCATGCTTTGCTCCAAGTCCAGCAAATCAAGGAACTCGTGAAATTAAGCCAAGGAAAATAACTTTTGTAGTGGGAAAAGTGATAATTTCTGACACTTGGTTAAAATGTATTATAGTGCTAGATGGTGGATAAAGTGCAGTCAGCTGTGTTCTGTTGGATAAATGTGGTGTTAGAGCTCCTGGGGGATATTGGACCATTTTCCCAATGACTCCTTTCTGGAACAGTGTCTTGCTCTGAGTATGTTGCACATTTGACAGGAACAGTTTCACCAAAAGGTATCAGGGTAACTCGCCTCTTACTTCCTGTTCTTCAGTAATGGCTTGCTTTACTGATTTTTACCTCTGTATATTTAAAAACAAAAGAGAAGTGCTTTTATCTTGCTTTTTTTCCTATAAAAATCAGTGCATGTCCCTTTACTTTCTGGTAAAGCATAGCATGCCTAAATTTGCTTAATAAATCCAGCACACTTCAGAATGGAATTGTAATGGGAATGGAGAATGGATTTGAAAAGCAGATCAGGAGACAGCAATCTGAAGGAAGATTTTGATGACCTACAATTGACAAGCTAGTTTCTTTTGTGGTTTGGGACAAGCTAGATAATAGTAAATTTCTTCTTAATCTTTCTGTAAACTATGGGTTGTTTAACAGAACATTTCTTTGCAGTGTTGGTTTAAGAAATATAAAAAACCTGCATCAATCAGTGTTAACCAGCCCTCCTGGCCCTCACTGGGGCTGGAGTGCTCAAGGTGCTTTGAGCCAGAGCATCTCTCAGATCACTTGTAAGCATTTCAGCTTCCAAGCAAGCTATTTCAAGAGTTGCTAGCTGTCATCCCATTCTATTAGCCCTGCTTAAATGCAAGTAGGTATTTTAATATGTCATATTTGAAAATTTAGCCATTTTAATATCAGTACAGAGGTTGGCAGAGAGGCAGATGTGTTCCTAGCAGATACATCACAGTAAGATAATTGGAAGAAAAAGCCTGCTTGCTCTTTTTGAAGTACACTCTGAAACATGCCCTTGGCACACATCATTCATACTACTCACCAGGATTGCCAGCAAAATTTGGGAAGATCTGCTCAGTCCTGGAGCAGCATCTAGCAAGGGCAGGATTTCTCCAGCTCATTCCAAGGGTCACTGATGTGGTGCTGCCTGCTACATGCCTGGATTTGCTTCCAACAGTGAGAAGTTCTGTGCATGGTTCCTCTAGCTGGGTGTCCCTGTTCCTGTGATCAGGATGGTGGATTTTTCTGGGACTGTTGGCTCTCCTGACTTCAAATTTCTGCTGTAGAAATGCTGGGAGTGCAGGAGGACACGGTGGTCACAGACTCCTTGGATTAGGTGGCAGCTGGTGGTGCAGCCAACTGAAGTGTTTGGTGATAACCCTGTGCTGTTGTTTTAGTCTTGGTGCTTTTCTCTTTTTTAACTACTTGCCTTGTTTTCCCTTTTCTAGATGAGGGCTATTACCAAGGGGGAAAGTTTCAGTTTGAAACTGAAGTTCCTGATGCCTACAATATGGTGGTGAGTATTCATCATTAGTCTCATAGTTGTCATTTTAGATTTTCTTTGCATGTAACAGGACTTCAGGGGGAACTTGGCATTGAGACTGAGAAAGGATCTTCTGTTTCTTAATAACATAAGTCTGTGGAACTGTCTGGCAGAAGCTCTGGAAAGTGCAGATGAGTCAAAGCTGAGTGTCCTCCCTTCTGGCTGAGGTTCTGCTCTCGCCTGTTCATTATTCATGAGACCTGCATTTAATGATCATTCTCATAAAAAGTTATACGTCTAAGAATGAAACAAGTGAACCAAAAGGAAAAAAGGTTGTCAGTTGTGTAACTTTCCCCCACGTTCTTCTGCTTTGGTGTCTTACTTTTGCTGTTGGCAGTTGAGTTCTTGCAGAGAGGCTGAGGAATTTGTAAGGGAGGATCCTGGGGAAGAGTTTCAGGGAAGATCTTTGGTTCCTGTTCAGCTGAGCCTAAATTCAGCATTATCTCTGTGTAGTAGTTGCTGTCACAGCTAAGTAGTGTTTGCAGTTGTGTGGGTTTGGTTTTGGGATGTTTTAAGTTCCCCTTGACTTTACCAAATCATTTAATTCTGTGGCAGATGAAGGTCACCCTCACTACCTTTTGTGTATTCATTTAATTCCCTTTGATTTTTGTATTCCAGTTGTTCACCCAAACAACACTGCTGCAGGAAAGTGTTTGCTGTGTGTTAACAGAAGAGCTGAAGTTCAGTGTTGATCTGAGTTTTTTGATTCTCAGTTCCCATAATTAAAAAGTCTTTGTTTTGTTGTGGTTCCCTGCTCAGCATTAGTAGGAGAATCTACAGCAAATGTTAACTAAATATTTTTAAATTTGAGCACCTCTTATCGAATACAAAGATAAAAAGTTTTGAAACAATGCAGGAGGTTGGATGTTGGATTGTGGTCAGGTTATTAATGCACTATTAATCCCAATATTGAGGGAATTCTGCTGAGGTTGGTTTCCTGCCAGGCAGAATGGGACTGACACAAGTGATGCTTGTTTTCAGGAGAGCTCTGCAGACCTGCCAGGGCTCTCAGCCCACAGGCAAGGCTGGGATGCACACCTGCACTGGCAAAAGGAGTGGATATGTGGAATTGTGGTGTAGTGGAGGAGCATAAAATAAATAAAGAGAACAATTTGGAAGGGAAGATTTGGTATTGTGGCCTGCAGCCAAACCACTTAGTGCTTCGCTGTGTGTAGTGTTCGCTTTCAGCCAGTCTGAGAAGTTCTCCAGAAACTGCTGGTGGAAGGTGGCAAGAAATATCTCAGGGCTGCTGTGTACTTCACCCCAGGGACTTATATCCCCACTAGGGCCTCCTGGGGGAAATGGTGCTTTCCACAGACTGTAAAGAGAAGAGCTGCAGTTGCAGGGTGCTTTAGCAGAATGCTTTGGGACTAGCTGGTGTCCAGAGAAAACATTTAAAATAACATTGACTCCAGATTTCTCTTAGGAGCCATATTCCTTCTTGAGGTAAATTTCTTCACTAGTGAGGAGTTACATCTGCAGGATACTGATCAAATTAAATACATAAATAATACATAATTTTTTGAAAAATACAAAATCTATTGGTACACCTGTCCTTTAAGAGTGCTAATTTTAAATGAGGGATCCCAGAGCAGAAGTGGCTGCTTGGAAATGGAGAAGAAAGTGAATGTGGTCACTGCTGTGCCCCCCAAGCTGAAGCTGCATCTACCTGTGCAGCTGGTGGTGTTTGAGGGTGGAAGGAGGAGTTTGAGCAAGGAAATAAATGGATTTGAGGAGCTTTGTTGTGCAGAGTCTCACAGATGCTTAGGTGAAACATCATCCTGAGGAAATCTCTGGATTTGTTGGTCTGGGGAGGGTTCAAAAATGGTTCGGAACAAGTTCCAAGGAGAAGTTTTGTCTGAAGATAAGTTTTATGGTGGTGCTGCAGTTGTCCTGTCTAAAAGGAAAAAAGGAGAGAGAGAAAAACCTTTGTCTTACTGTCAGGAGTGGGTTTTTCTAACTTAGAGCAATGAAAATCACTTTGAAAGGATAAAAGAATTCTTTTGTTTCCACAGTACAAAAAATGAGACACCAGTTAGTTCACTGTGAGGATTTGGAGATTTTTCAAAAAGAGTTTCTACAAAGCTTTTTTTTTTGACTCATCAATACATTCCCTGTTTGAAGGTGCATATGGTAGAAATTTATTCTTTTATTATGATCTAATGGCATGGAATAAATTCTGCTGCTTTCCCTTGCTTGAAAACTAGACATCATCTTTCAAAACAATGTGAAAGTGTAGCTAATGAAAAGCTTGTGCTGTTAGAAAACTTCTAAGGTATTTTGGAGGTCAGAAAGTTTGAGACTGTTTTCTGTGAGCCACTTAGTTTTCAATAATGCCATGCCTGATGTCCCTTGAGTTATTGCACAGAAGTGAAGTGGGGGAAAGGCAAAATCTGCCCTACCAATCCCAGATTTGTTGTGGTGATGAGTGGGTTTTTTTATACAACATTTTAGGTCTGTTTTTGGTAACTCGGTGTCATGCATATTTTCTTACCTCTTCCAAGGAGTCTTAATTTTAAAAAGTTTCTTTAAAATGTAATTGGGAAGTTGGGGCCAAGATGAGATAAAGCACATGGTGCTGCCATGTAAATACAGCTCTTTGAGCTGTTTTGCCTCTTGATTCAAGACATTGGAAAATGTGGAGGGAGATGGCTCCACATTTATAATCTGGGTATTAATTGAAGTTGTGCAAGGTGTTGGTGTGTGCTGATGGATTCTGGGACACTTCCTATCAGAAATAATCTGTCTGATTGAAAGCTGCAAGTCCTAATGGGGAGAGCAGGGATGGAGCAACGTGATGTTGCTAAGCTACTGAAATTCTTATGTGCCACTCTTCATTTACTTCACAAAACTAGAGCAAAGGAGACTGTACTTTAAAAAATCTGTACTTCACACCACTATGACATTCAGAAGTTTGGTGATCTTGCCTGTGGCTTTTCATTTTAGTGCCTCAGATTCGCTGCTGATGCATTTCTGGTCAGTTGTGAACAGGAGGTATTTAAAATAAGTTATTTTTTTATTATTAATTATTTATTATCTTTGCATCATCTGCTGTTTTTTAACTAATCTCTGATTTGGACAAACCTTGCTGAAGTTCTTTTTTTGTTCAAATTATTTTCTTAATTAAGTATGAAGAAACTGAATGAGTGTTTTGTTTTCCCTGAAGGAGTAAATTTTCTTGGCTTTCTTAAAAGTTATTTTTTCTAAGGAAAAGCCTCATACCAGTCTGGTTTTTATGAAGAGTTTAGAAAAGCTAAAAGGGCAGAGAAGTCTGTTTTGACTCTTGTAGATAATGCATCATTGCCCTAAATATACAAACCCATGCTGTGAATATCAAATATATTTGCCTTTTTCTGTCTTATGAGTTATAACAGGGTTTTATCTTAAAGGATAACACAGTAATTTATTTTCTCTCCTGGCAGCCTCCAAAGGTAAAATGTTTGACAAGAATCTGGCACCCAAACATTACAGAGACAGGAGAAATCTGCCTAAGGTAGGAACAACGTTCTGTTGGAGTTTTTTAGCCTTGGAGGTTTCTCTGTTTGATAAAATATTGGATCTACCTGTCATGACAGTATTTTTTTTGTGCTGATTCTGCATGTAACTTTTAGGAGCATAAAAATCTACTCAAACTCTCATTCTTGCTGTGCTGTAGGGATCATGGAGAGCCTGGCTGTTCAGGTTCAGACGCAGAGTTTTGTTCTAGTTGTAGAACAAAAAATGGGGTAAAAATGTGAACTCTAGCCTAAACAAAATGTAATTGGGTTTTATCTTCCCTACCTCGTAACTGAATCATCCTCAGGCCCTGAGGGAGGCTTTGAGGCTTTACCTTTTAATGCCCTAGTGTGTTAAGAGGTTGAAAATTCTTTTTGTTTCAAAAAGGAAGGGAAAAAGTGTTCCTTATACTTTGACAGTAATTATTCTTTGTTTGCCATTTGTTAATTATAATATTTCATATCCACTGATCAGACTCATGTGCCAGTTGTAACAGAGCAGGGTTGGGGTCAGGATAAGTCAGGATATGAAACCTGAAAGCTTTACCTTGCCAGAGAGGCTTCTCTTGCTGGATGGTTTTCCTTGATAGTAAATGTTTCCTTTTCCAAATGAATCTGTGAAACTTTGCAATTTCATCCTCAATACCTGATGGTGAAATTGGCCAGAAACCAAACAGAAACAGCAGTGAGAAGCCTGCCTGTCATTTTTTCAAGTTATTGGCACACAGAAGAAAAGGCAGATGAAGCAGAAGCAAAGCCCATAAGTGAGATTGAAAGCTGTTATGAAAATCCAGCCTGGTTGTCACCATGTGTAGCAAATCAGTGCTTAAAGAGAAGCTGATTTTTTCCTCTAGATGGAGAAATCAGTTTAGTGCTGTGTTGAAAGGCCTGGTGAAAATGAAGGTTTTTTTGTTGTCCTCCCTATGCAGGTCAGGCTCATCAGCATTAAGAAACTTAAATGTTCTGGGTGCAGGTAAAGGAATGAACAGGTGAGGTGTTTGAACCAGGGAGCAACAAATACCAGGCACCAAACCAAAGCCGAAGCTCCAGCTGTAGCACAGCACCTTCTGAGGTTCACATTCATAAAATCCCAGAGTGGTTGGGCTTGGAAGGGACCTTAAAGCTCCCCATCCACCCCCTGCCTTGGGCAGGGACACCTTCCATTAGCCCAGGTTTCTACAAGCCCCATCCAGCCTGGCCTGGAGCACTTCCAGGGATGGGGCAGCCACATTTTTCCATCTCCTGAAATAGTTTTAATTATAAGAGAGGAATGTGGTGTTTGGAGCATCATAATTGTAATGAAGTGGAGGTGTTCTTTCAGCATCTGCACCATAACAGTTTAGATTGTCAGATTCCTCAACATATTCAGCCCTGGAAATCTCTGGCATTAGATGGAAAAACTAAAATAACTTAATTGCTTTATGCCTGTCAGAGAAGGCATTCTATGTATAGCATCTGCAATCAACTTACACAAGAGTCCTTGCATTAAAATAGCTTCAGTTATTTTTAAAAGCAGAAAATCATCAGTGCTTTCCCCCCACATACCTCATGCTGTGGTATGTGTTGGTTTGATAATCGTCCCTAGATTAAAACATTCTAAATAGTTAAACTTGTGGTCAAGTGTAACAGTTCTGGGCAGGAAAAGTGGTGGTTTTCTGTGCTTTATGGACTGTATTACCCTGGGCCTTGTTATTAATGACAGATCCTATTTAAGTCTGGCCCATACTGGATATCACCTGTACTGCACATGTGGATAGAAAAAATGGAGGTTTCTGCAGACTGATCTTCTCCTTACAGTAAATTGTAGTCACTTAAGCTGCACATTGGGTCAGCTGGAGTTTCAGAAGGTTTTACACTTAGTGGAATCATGCAGTTCCCACTTCAGGGGATGTTTTTTAAAAGATCTCTTTAGGATGTGTGTATTTAAAAAGAAAAAAAATCCTCAAAGCATTCAGGAGTTACTCACAGAATGAGGAGATATTTGTTGAAATGAAAGCTAAGCAGCTGACTGGTCACATCAGGGTCTGTTTTGGTTACTGAAAGTTGAAAAGCAATGGTTTTCAGTCTGCCCATAGGAACCCAGATTGATGATGTATGATTTGTAATCGTAGCTGGGAGGTCTCCCTAGATGTGGGGGAATGTTCTATTGAGGAGCTTAATGGTCATTCCCAATCTGTAGAAGAAAGAGGGTGCTGCTCTAAAACCAATTCTATCAGCAAATGAGGAGTGTCATGCCAAAGGGACACTTCTGTGCTTCCCTGCCAGAGTGCTCTGAGAGGTGCAGGTGTCTCCTCAGTCCTGGCTGTAGTGTTCCAGCTGAAGCTGTGCCAGGAGAGCTCTGAGGCCTGGAAGCTGCAGGGCTGTCCATGAGGCTTAGCTCATGCTCAGGTGCTCTGTCACTGAATATTTTTATGATTTTATTTGGTGTGTTTACTTCTCTCTCGCTTGGAATTTCTCAGTGAGGTGTGTGGAGAGGCAAATGGAAGCACTGCATGTAGTTTGATAAGGAACAGACAAAAAGCAAGCTTTTTTTGCTTTTGCTTTTGTCATACGAAGACAAACTGCAGCCACAAGATATTATTTTGAATGTTGCACAAGTAGTAATGGCATATTTTATCTTTTGAAAGGCACAGAAATAAGATGAGCAGCACACTTAAGGTGGAATGGGCTTGTCCAGGTTGATCAGCCTGTTCCTGGGATCTCTGCACTGAACAAGGATTGAATTTCCTTGGATATAAACTTGCCATGTTCATTAGATAACTACATAACCTGTATGGTCTAGTCATCTACTGTAATTTAAAAATTACTTAACACCTGTCAGCCTGGAAATTGCTAGAACCTTATAGTTTTAAGACTATTTCACTTTAACCCTGTCATTTCAGTAGCAGAAGCTGCAGCTGGTGGTGAATTTTTGTGCTTTGCTGTGTGAGTTAATTTTAGATAACTCCTTACAGAGGAAGGTGTGATTCTGAAATAGTGCTTCAGGGAGTTTTTATAGATTTTTTTTCATTCAGATTATTACTTTTCTGAGCAAGACTTCAGCTTATTTCTCAATTGTGCTCTGATCCCCAGCATATCTCCTTCTCATAACTGCTGAGGTTTGGATCTGAAAGGTCCAGAAATGCCTGAACACCTCAGTGGTTTCCACTTGAATAGGTCAGCAGCTTCACTGGGCTTAATATGTACAATAATACGGTACATTTGTACTGGATGTGTGCATATAGGAAATTCTGTATTTTATATATTAGTGTTCATATTAAAATTCAAATTATATTTTATAATCTGTATATTTATATCTATATTTATCTATATCTATCTATAGATCTCTCTCTAAATATATATCTATATAAAAATTTATTTTATAAGTTTTTCCTCCAGAGCAGACAGACTAAAACTCTCTCGCTTTCTTATCTTTACCTGTAGGAAGCTGAAGTCCTTTCACACAATAGAGGATGATGATCCTCTCTTTGCTAATTCAATATCCCTCCCCAAAACACCATTTTTTGGATTGGTTTATGCCAGTTTTGGTGAGAGATTGGTCATCCTGCAAGACTGTCTCTTCACCAGGGATTTACATATTCTATGATGTATTGGGGAATAAATAAAGGGTTCAGTGTTGAGCCTGTCACAAGCATTTCTGTCACACTTGTGCTGCTGGAGGAAAATAATTCAGATGTTTTGACAGAGGCTGAGCTCAGATGGGGAGCTCTGTAATGATACTGTGTAGAAGGTAATTTTAGGTAGACATCCCAACTCCTGGGGTTTAAAATTCCATTACCTGGGTATAAATAGTGCAAAAATTAGATCTTGCAATTACTTCCTAATGTTTTCTGAGCAGGTTTCTGACAAAGGCAGTTGAAGCAGAAGTTGCTCTGTATAATCTGTGTGTCTTTTTTTTCCAGTTTGTTGAGAGAACACTCAATTGATGGCACTGGCTGGGCCCCAACTAGAACCTTAAAGGTACTGTTTCCTTTTGGAGAAGTCCATCAAGCGAAATACATATTTTAAAATCCTTTCCTGGCCTTGGAAAGAAACAGCTCATGTGGTTTGCTCAAGAACAGGTTTTTGAGGTGAGGTTTTTGTCTTTCAGCAAGTGTTGGTGGCAGCAGTGGAACAGGTACAGTGCTGATTGTAGGAATGTTGGGAGTTCTGGTGTGGCTGCACAGAGCCTCCTCTGATCCAAGGTTTTGGAGGTTGGTGTGATTCTAGAACCCACACTCTGTAAGGTGTGCTGGTTTTCACCCAGGCACCAAAGACAAGAGCATCCTGTGAACAGCAATCCATAACCCTGGTAATTTCCATGGGATTGATACTCCTGACAAAATCAGTGCAGAGCACTGAGCAGGGCATTTATCTTCCTGTTGCTGTTCGCAGGAATGCTGCCAGAATTGTTTCTTGCAGAGCTTTAATAGCATTAGGTGGATAAAGGGTACACATCAGGTGTTTGTCTCTTTCAAAAAGCAAATTGAAAATGACCTTTATCTGATACTTAGTTTGTTCTTTGGCACTATGAATGAGATCTGTGACTTTCTTAATCTGTAAAGTGTCTCCTGAGGTGAGGTGACTTTCTGGAAGTAAAATGAGTGTTTTATTTTGTGGATTTTCTTAAGCAGTCTTTCCCTATAGTTTTTTCATCAGTTGGTGTGATTTTGTTTTGCCCTTTGTGTTTCTGTTTTTCATCTCAGGTAAAATCAAGGCACTGAGTAATTTAACCAGTTAACTAGTTAAATTACTAGTTCTGTTCCTGTCCCTGTATTCATTCAGACAAGCTTCAGCCATTAAAGAATTAGTACAAGTGGGCAAGAAACCCAAAAGGCAGGAGCTTTTTCTGTGGTTGTTGAAATGAAAAATTCTGCAAGAAAAAAAGGAATTAGAAGCTTAACTTTAAAAAGAGAAATCACATGTCCTCCTTGGATTTTTAAATTTTTGAACACTGAAGCACCACAGTTGTGAGCTCACTTTTTACAGCTTTTCATCATCACAAGGGGAACAGTGAGAATTTGCACAGAAGCACTGTGGATGGGAATCCAGTCTTGGCCTGTTATGGACTTGAAAGTCAGTATTTAATTTGTCAATAATATGAAGTCAACCTGGTTTTCTGGAGGAATAGCACCCAGACCTACCCAATAAAGCACTCTGAACTACTCCTAAAGAATTAAATTGGGAGTGGGCATGTCCTGCCACAAAAACTGTTCCAAGGGCATTAGAGAAGCCATTCAAATAGAGAATGCATGTGAGAAGCCCCATGCTGAATGCAGCTGCATGTGTGGAGCTTGTGTGCTTAACCCTTTAGAAGGCTTAAGTTTTTGATTGTCATTTTTGAATCCTTGTGACATCAGAGCTATATGAAAAATCCTTCAAAATAAACTGCTGTGACCTTTTCAATTTTTTTTTTTGTTTTTTGTATCAAATGGGTAGAAACATGAAGAAACTTTCTGAAATAAAAATGAAAATCTGCTAAATTGTCTGGAAAACTTGCCTGATAAAATGTATTTTTAACAGTGTGGAGGATTCTTAAGAGGGGGGGGAAGACCTAACTCAGTTTTGTTTCCCAGCATTTTTTTGCACTTGGTGTCATCTCATCCATGATTGAATTCTCTTCAGGTTACCAAGTGCTGAGCTTTATCTTTTTTCCCTTTGTGCTTGGGAACATGTTTCCATGGACCACTGTGAAGAGCAGCCTGTGTATGAGTGAAGGCACTAAAGAAAGTGCTATTTCTGAATTCCTTCATTAGATGCTTTTTTGAAATCAGGTTCTGAGCAGAGTTGGGCTCTTACCCTGAAACAGGTTTAAAACATTATCCTGCCAGCCTGTCTGTATATGCACTTTTAAAATCACTTTCTTTTTATTGATAGAAACACTCCAGAATCCCAAACCCTTGGATAATTTCTGCTAGTGGTTGGGGTCCAGGCTGTGGATTTTGTGAACACCGCTGCAGTGCTTTCTGGCTGATCTTTGTGTTCCTTCTGCTCCTTTGTAGCTAAACATGAGTTAGCAGCAGGAGCTTATTTAACTTTCAGTCTCCATTCTGTCACGTTCTGCATCATTTTATTGCGTACTTTCTTCTCTAAAGCAGCTTATTCACAAAGCTGGAGACTGCTGCAGTTACTTTGGACCCTGCTCAGTGTGTCTGAACTTGCTTTTCTTCTGTTTTTAGGTGTGATGGTCAAAATGAAAGTTTCCCAGGCAGAAAGCAAATAGATGGCTTCAATTCCATTTTGTTCTCAGTTTTTTTTTATGTCACTGGAAGTAGTAGCTTTTAAATACCTTGTATGACTTCACACTGTTGCTGGTACTCTGCTTTGTACCCTTCATTAATTTCAATTTCAAACTCCAAAGGGCTTTAGTAGCTCCTGTTAGACCTCAATATATACCTTATTTGCCAGGATGATCGTCTGCCTAGCTCAGTTAGTTCTCCTTAATTTTCCTCAGCTTTGTCCTAAATGCTTGTTTTCATTTTGCTCTGAAAACATCTCAGGTGATTGATTTTAAGAACTGAACAAGTGGATCTGTATTTTAAATGCCTGACTGATTCTAAAAGTCAGCTTCCTTTTGCAGTTACCTCTAACTAACTGCAACTGGAAATGGATTCATAAATCAGTGGCTGATTGATAGACCTGAAAAATAATCAAAGCACACTTGGGCAACTCTGTGGAGGGCTGAGCATATGAACATTAAAACCAGTGTTTAAAAATGTATGATGGATGTTCCCAGGGAATATTTGTCCTTTTTCTTCTTTTTGTAGCTGTGTTCTCACAGAGATCCAGCTGGTCTCAGCTAGCTGGGCTGTTTTCTGGAGGCTTTCCATGTTTGTTAGGTGTATGTGCACTTCAGTTTTTCACTGAGATAGTTTCAAGTGCTGGGTTTTGTCATTTTTGTCTTACTGCTCTCAGGAGAGCCAGGAGCAGGAAACATCCAGGTAGCCTGAAACTGCAGATCTGCAGGCAGCTTTTCATGCCCACCTACAGGAAACCGCTGTTTTTTCAGGAATTTCTCTCCCATAACTCCAGATCCTAGATTAATAAATATCTGTCTGTGCTATTAGATTACCTGTTCTAAAAGGAATTGAGACTCATTTCCAGTAAACTATTGCTACTTGGAGTTGATCCTTAGGAGCCTTGCTTATTTAATTAGTGCTTTAATTCTAAATGGCAGCTCTTCATCCTGTTTGGTTCACTGATTCTGCCCTTGTCTTCAGGCAGTGGAATGACTTCATTTGGAATCATCCAAATGCCAAACTCATCTCTTGGAGAAATAAATCAGAGGGTCCTGACTTCATTTTTCCAGTTTACCTCAATGTTTAAGCATCAACCTGAGGAGTTCTGAAAGTACAAAACTTCACCCATCATCTTAAGGAAAATAGATGGTTTGCTGTCAAAATCATCTGTAATTAGTGTAGAGAAGTGTTTGAAACAGACAATAAAGTAACTGTCACTGTCTTGAGGATGAAGGGAAAAAAGAAACCTGTATGCTTTATGTTAGATTAATTCTTGTTGCTCAGGCTGTTTTTCTCAGCATTATGATAACATTGTACAGCTATTGATTTATTCAAATTTTCTTTTGGAGTTGGTCTTTTTATGTGTCTTCCTCACCTCAAAAATTGAATAAGCCCCAGACAAAAACTTCAGACCCAGTATTTGGAAAGAGAAGGTTTAAACTGCTGAAGACAATCTTCTTTGGAGATTTGACATTCATTTTTTTTCTTAAAATAAGCTTCAGGAAATATTTTTCCAAGGATATATTGTATTGTATTTTAACTTCATTATAAATTTGCTTTCTCAGTTTTGTAAGATGTGATTTATTTGTCTCCTCCATACATGCCCAGGCTGGTGAAAATATACAACTCAGTGTTTTCTAACAGCTTTTGCTTCAGAAAAGACTTGCAAAAATTTAATTTTCTGTCTTTAATGTTCTCTGGCAAAACCAAATCTTTGGTTTAGGTACAGTAGCTGCTCTTATGAGCATGTGAGTGAGGAGAGCTGAGATACCTCAGTAATTGTAATTAAACTACTTGTTCTCCCCAAACTGTTGATTTCTGAATATTCAATTAGTGTCAGCTTTCATGCACTGAACACACTGGTCTCCAGAGGGTGATGGCTTCAGTGTTCTAATCACTGTGGTGCAGTTCATGAAGAAGCTATCAGAGAATTCCCCAGGGAACAATTTCCACAGGATTATCCACTTGCCCTGCAGTAACCACGGGGACAAATGTCAAGGAGTGAGTGACAAAGTGAGGGATGGGAGGGGAGTGCTCTGCATGCTTGGCACTTCACAGCTGCCTTGGTCTGGGACACCAACAGGCTGGAATTGGTCCTGTTTTCTTTCCCCTCCTATATTTAAGTACAAAAGAAATGGTTTTCCAGCCTTCCTCCTTGTTTTGTGCTTGCTAACTGGAGCAGTTTATGCCTTTTGAGTTACTCAGAGCCCTGTGGGGAGCTGCTGTTGTGTTTGGGTGGGAAGCACAGGCAGGGATGACAGACACATGACAACTGAGGTGGCTTTTGTGGGTGGCTGAAGAAAGGTGGCATTCACTTTATCACCTTATTCTAGGAGGTGGAAACAATGATTTTCAACTTTGGCAAGATTAGAGAGGAGCAGGAAAGGAAATAGAAAAGATTTTTTTGGGGAGGAGACAGTTTAGGAGAGAAGTATTTTCATAAGCTAAAAAGTGCCTCCATCTCTGGAAGGAAAACATTTTTTTTTTTTGATCCACAGGACCAGTGATTATTTGGTGGGGTGGCATGTGTGTGCTTGGTTTTTTAGGCTGCAGTGAAGAGGGGAAGGTGGGCTTGTTTTTTACAGACAGTGGAAGAAGGGAAGGGAAGAGGAAAACCACCTTGAGGTGGTGAATAGGCAGACATTACAGTAGAGAGCTGCCCCAGGACTTGGCCATTTCCAGCCTTTTTTAAAACAAACCAAAAAAAATTGATACAGACATGTGCTTGTATAAATGACTGCTGCTCCTTTTGTTCATCTGACTGCATCAAGTTGTTTGTTTATATAGAATGGTTTAGCAATGAGCTTTATTTTGTTCAGTCTGTTAGATCAGAAATGCTTCTTGGATCTCTTACGGGAATTTCTTTGATTGGAAGTTATGTGCTTTTTTCTGGTCTGCGCTCTTCTTAATTTAATGTATTAAATATACTTTGCCTGTTAAAGGAAAATATTAATTTAATCTTAATTAATTCCATACCTCAAAAACATTGAGGTAAACTGGAAAATGCTAATTTAATCTTAATTTACAGTTTCCATGTTTTCTCTCTCTTCAGAAGTGCTTGTGTTTGTCTTTCTGAACCCCTTGTCTGTGGCATGGTTTCAGGGGCATTGCTTTTGTGAAGTGGCTCTGAGAGCTGTCACTTGGCATGATCAATGACTGAGTTAGAACCTCCTAGAAATGCAAAGCTTTGAGACTCCCTGGCCTCAGGAGAGGCTGTTTCAAAAGCTGCATTGAGGATTTTGAGTCACTGCTCTTGAACTTCAGACACTGCTGCAGCAGCATGTTTTTTCTCCTCGTTTGGCATGCTATAAACAAATCTGTGGGCAGGGGTTTAGTGTAACTTTTCACTCAGATGCAACACAAAAATAGCGCAGAATGAAAAGGGACAATTATAAAGGAGTGTTTACAGCAGTCTGTTGATCTTCTGACTTGCTTGTGTTGACTTCCCCATGCTCCAGCCCAGGATGGTGGCAGTGCCATGGAGCAGAGTGTGCTTCTCTCATTATTCTGTATTGCCCTCACCTACTGTGGATTTAATCAGGTGCTGTGTGCTTGGGAGCCCCAGTTCCTGATTTCAAATACCATCATTGCCTCCTCTGAGCCAACAGAATAGATGTGAGCTAAACCATTTGCATATCCAAGACCTGCCTTTGACTCCCAAAGGCATCTGACCCACAGGTGACATCTGAGCTGATGGCAAACCTCTGGGCCACCACACAGGGACAGCCTGGGCAGGCTGGAGCAGGAGCCAGATAAAGCAGCTCGAGGAATATGGCAGCCCAGGCTGCAGGTCCTGCACAAAAAGCAGGTTTGGTACAATAGCAGAGGCTCTCAGCTTTGCTCTGTGGCTGCCCCTCAGCAGGAGTGCCCTTGTCCTCTGTAACTTTGATGTTAAACCCAGAGCAGAAGTCTCAGAAAAGCAGCTTTGTAAAGGAAGCAGCTTAGTCAGGTGCAGATGTCTGATTTTGTACAAGTGGGGTCTTACTCAAGTGCACCACTGTCAAGGTGTGCACCATGAACATTTTCAGGGCCACCTGCAATACTCCTCCCTGTGAAAATCACCTTTAAAAACTCCTGCACATGGGCTTAATCTCGTTTTCAGGCTATTTAAGCCACAAGTTCAGTAAACGTTTGTACCCAGGCCTGATGCTTTATTACACTGAAGGGGAACAGAAGTTTCTGAGCTGTTAAATCTGACAAGATCTTCAGTGGCTTGCACATCCTTTTAGTTCCTCAGGAAAACCCAAAGCAAGCACCTAGGCCACTGCTTATCTGCATGCAGCCAACAGCTCTGCTGAAGTCAGCAGTGCAGGGTGATTATTTCTGCAGTTCAACAGTGTTGAGTTTTTTCAAATACCAAATACTTGCTTCACTTTTGCTCATCTGTTCCATCCCACTTCCCTTTCTCAATATCCTAGATTTAAATCCAGGCTAGCCTCGAGCTCATTACAAAAAGAAATTGTCCTCTGGTAGTAATTTAGCATTATTTCTTATGGAGCCATGCGAGGGTATAAAATGAATCCAGCAAATCATAAAGCTTGAATAGATGGAAACATCAAAAATGGTATTAAGACTATCACAAGTAAATTATTCAGTAATAATAATAATAATCCTGTTATGCTTTTTCATGTCTAGAATGGCAGTGGAGATGTACAGCATTTTGACAACTTGCGCCTGTACAAAGGTTTTTGTTGGTTTTTTTTTTTTTGTTTGTTTGATGTTTCCTTCTTTGTTTTTTAATAGAACTCTGTAAAACCAGCTCAAATGAGTCAAGCACCCCAAAGCATTAAAACCAGGGTTCAGAAAATAAGAATTTGGGAACAATTAATTATATAATGGAAAAATAGGACATCACATCTCCTTTTTGAGCTGCAGCATTTAGTTGTGTGAGGTATTGGAGCTTGTATTGGACAAGAAGGAGTTTTGTGTGCAGAGAGCTCTGCTGGTGTCTGGGGAGCTTCTGTCAGAGCAGGGGGTCAGCACTGCTCAGAGTAAGGAGAAATTGAGCTCCTGAGGATTTTGGAAGGCACTGACTTGCTCCTGGTTTGTTCCTTCTCAGCCATGCAGGTGCTTGAACAGCTGTGGAGAGTTTGTAACCCTGGGGATGCAGGTTTGGCATTCAGGAGTTAGAAATGGCCAGCCCTCAGAGTGCTCAGGTGACCTTATACCTGTTCAGGATGGTTTGAATGCTCAGTGTTGTGGTTCTGCAGCAAATTCTGCAACTGCAGCCCGCTGTCCCACGGTGTAGGTAGAAGGCCGCTTCTGAAAATGTCATTTTTTCCTGCAACTCTGCCTCCCTGATGGACCACACAGCCTTGGAGGGCAGCAGTGGAATGGGATCCTGACCTTTGGGTACAGAGGGGTTGCCCAGAGCTGCTGAGCACCCTCTGATCCCTGGATGTGGGAGAATCAAGTGGAAATTGAGACCTTCCTGCCTTTTGCTGCTCTCCATGCCAACAAATCTTCCTTTAATCTGTGACTTTGGCACATCACTGCATTGTACTAATAATTTACCCCAAGAATTAACAGAGGTGTCCTTAATACCATGCTCTCCTGACCTCTTCTGTGCCTGGTGTCTGTTCCAGCAGTTGAACAAACACAGAAGCTTAAAGTGTGAAACGATGATTTCTATCCCTTCTTTGAAATAACTGAATAATAAAATAATTAAAACTGAAATGTTCCATTTCTCCTGCTTGCCAGGGAACTGGCAGAGTTGTTCTTTGGGAGTGAGGATGACTACTCAGCACTAGAGTCTTAAAATTTACAGATAACTGGAATTAAATGTCTGGGTCACCCCTTTTGTGCAGTTTATGTGTTGGTGCTGCCACGTTGGAAGGTTGCTGTCTTTGCCACACTTGAGAAGGTGCTGAGGCTGGAAGGGCTGACACTGCCATCCCTGTTGGGCAGATTGATGTTTCAAAAGCAGATAAAGTGAGTGGGTTGTTTGTGCAAGAGCAGAGGGAAATTGGATCATGAAAGGCTGTTGGCTGCGGAATGCTGACATCGTGTCTTGTTCATTAGGGCATAATTGGACAGTGTCCTTAAGGGATATGGATTTCTGTGGTCCACACTCTCAGCACAGGCCCCAGAACAGGAAGCAAGCTCAAATACACTCATTTATTGAAGTTCTTTGCTGTGCATAGGAAGTTTGCTACTTTGAGGCTTTATCTTTATTGTAAATTTGCATTTTAGCCGTGGAATGACTTGAGACATATGCTTATGTAAGAATAGTATTTCTCTGTACTCCTACTACAACTCACCCTCTTTTCTCTGATATTTTGACAGTTTCAAGTATTTGTTTGACCCCTCTTTAATTCAGCAATCTATTGTTAAAAATAATTTTCACTACCCAGCCTTTAAACTAAGCAGTGCAGTTTTAGCTGGTGGCATATCCTAAGGTATCACTCCTCTCCTTGAATGGAGGAGCAACAGGAATACACACAGAAAGCTCTGACCTTCTGTTTGAATATGCAGTATTTGGTTTCGGTGACTTCTAAATATCAAGTGGCCATGAAATGGGAAAGCTTTTTCAACATTTTGATTTAAATTAGTAAAACATTAGTCATAATCTAGATTTTTTTTTTTCAGTTATTTCATGGGTTAATAGAAAAATAAAGTTTGTGAACATGTTCAAAACTCCTGAAATGCCTGTCTAACTGTGTTTTTCTTTGCAGGATATTGTCTGGGGGTTAAACTCTTTATTTACTGTAAGTAAAGGAATATTTTGCATGTTCCCTTTTCTTTTTCCTGCCTGGTTTAGTTTCACTATCACCTAATGACAACCTTGTGTGTTGCCTGTAAAAGTTTAGGTTATTATTTCCCTTGGCTTCAGTGAGTGTTAGACAAGTATGAAATCAAATTGTGCTTTTGTTTGTGGAACTCATCTAGACTGTCTGAAATGCCAGCTTTTTGTACATGGATTTTACTTTGGTTAGAAATATTAGGGGATATTTTGATAACAAATTATTTGGGCTCTTCCACACAGTATGAAACTCTTCCTGCTGATTTGCAGGAAATAGAAATACATAGTGCTCTGAGAAAGAATTGTGTTGGTGTTAGTCTTTTTTAAAAATCCTATTTAGGATTTAATGGCTGTCCTTCAGTCTCATTCCTTGTTAGCATAAAACCTAGCTTGTCACAGAATTTATGTGATTTTATTCAGGGATCCCATTTCTTCCCCTTCTATTTAAAGATTTTTGGGAGCAAGGAACCTGTAATTGCAGGTGCACCTTGAAAATGGAGGAGAGGGCAGGATGCAACAGCTGCTTTTGCCCTAAAAGTGGAGAGAAGCTAAGTCTTCACAAAAGTTACCTTTTTTAGGGATTCCTGTCCTCAGTCATTGCTGCTGGGTGGGAGGGTCAGGAGAAAGCAAAGAGCAGCATTAAGGTGGTGGCTACCCAGCACTCCAGGGTGTAGAAGGAAACTTGGATTTCCTGGCATCCAAAGTCTTAGTTGGTTTTTTTCAACACTTCTTTGGCAAATTGATGTAAGAGTTTGGAGATCGTTTGCTTTTCCAGCAAAAGTGAATTGCATTTCGCAGTCAGTCTCCCTGTGCATGCCAAGTAAGTGGAAGGAAGCAAAATCCTCAGGGGGAGAGCTGCATAAAATAAAAATATTGGGAAAGAGCTGCAGAGAGGGGTGGTCCTGCTTAGGGGACCACAGGGATTTGTCATGGATGGTGAGAGCTCTGCCTCCCTCCTGGATTCCTCTCACCCCCAGCCTCTTGTCAATAATTAGGCTTTGAAAAGATGGCATGGGATCCCACTGGTCTGGCTGATTCATTGGGGGGTTTATTGAAGAAAGTGAGTGAAAATGAGGTGGGTTGGTGTCCTGATTGGAGTGAAACGTGGGCTTTCCTGCTTCAAGATGAGCTGGGGACTGCCAGGAGCCTTTCACATTATGGGACTGTGGTTTTTCACTCTTCACACAGGCTGACCTTAGACTGGGGTAAGATCTGGCTGCAGATAGAACAGGGGCCTTGTGATTCAGTGTTATTTTTAATGATGACTCCTCTTCTCCATTGTTTTTAACCCTAGACCCTTTCTACTTCCAAGTTAATATTCGAGATTAAACTGGGAGGCCTGAGGTTTGTTAGGACTATTTCTGCTCCCTGACCCCACATGTCCTTAGTTCTCAGGATCTTTGCACTCCTCTTCCTCTAGGCTCTTGTTTTTCCCAGAGCACTGAAACTTCCCTGTCAGGCTCCAGGTCACATAGATTCTTCACAGAGAGAGTGGAATTGATTTTCTGTGGAGGTAGAATTAAGCAAACTCCTTCTTTATCAGCTCACTGTTTGCAGAAGTTTTTTTCAGGGTTTACTTTGCCCTCTAACAAAAATCAACAGGAATTGTGCCTCCTGCAAGTTTGGCTGTTCCTCCAAAATTTAGTTTTCCAATAGAAAAGCTTTCAATTCCAGATAGAAGTGTCCTAAGAACCAAACCAGAAGGGCTTAAATGCCCTGGTGCTGTTATTATTTAATTGCCCTGTGATTTGGTTTCCAATTACCAAATGACTCATTTGCATTTACCTTTGGCAGAGGCACCAGTGAGGCAGTGAGGCAATGATGAAATGGCACTGCCCTTGCTGCCCTGTTTGCTTTGTTCCATTATCTTGTTCCTGAAGGCTTTGGGCTCCTGGTGATGCAGTGAGTGGGAGCCCCTCAATGTTCTCTCTTTCTTTTCCAGGATCTTTTGAATTTTGACGATCCTTTGAATATTGAGGCTGCAGAGCATCATTTGCGTGACAAGGTGAGTCAGTGGTTTATTTAAGGCAGGTTGTTCCTAAACAAGCACACATTCTGTACTCAGCAGTTCCCAGCCAGTCCTTTTAGAGTGCTGGAGCTGCTGCTTGAGCTGGTTGAGTGACTCATTGTATCAGCAACCAGTTATTCAAACAAAAAGTGCTTTCTCTGGGAAAGCAGACTCCACACAGCAGTGTTAGTCACCATGTGCTGGGGCTGTGGGCCATGATGTGGCTGGGGGCCCACAATATCTTTCCCTTCTTGTGTCTGAGATTTCCCCTAAAGTTGTGCATGTGCTGTGCAGCATGCTGGTGGTGAGTTGGTTTGGCATGGTGACATGAGTGACCTTTGCCTTAGATCTGTGAAAAGATCTCCTCTTTCTCTGCCTCTTTCCAAAGGCAGCTCTTTTACTCAAAGCTGTTCCATGTTGCATGTGTTCATAAAGCCAGGAGAAATCTGGGCAAGTTTAAAGAGCAGGATTGGAAATTGATGTTTTCTTTTTACTTATCTTAATTTTTGTGTGTGTATTATGGACTGAGCAAAGCAGAACATGGCCTGGTGAACATAAATGAGATGTACTGCTTACCTCTGAGCAAAAGTGCCAATTTCTCCTTTGTATCCATCTCCAAAATTCCATCATGTCATGGATGTATTCCTCAAGCACATGGAACTCACACCTAGTATGTTCAAGACATCTTATTCTACTTAAACTCTTCAACACTTTTGTTGTACAGAAAGTTTCCAGGTATGCAAGTGTTGATTTGAAGAGTTCATTGAAAGTACAGTCAGGCAGTGCACCTAATTTATCTCATTTTTTCAAGAGGAAATACCAAGATTGCAAGTTCATCTTTCCACCTATATTTTCATTAATGAGATCTTGTAGCTATTCTGGTATTCATCCATGTTTGCAGGGCTGAGATGAGAACATACAGCAGAGCTGGAAAAAATTATCTACAAACCTCCTCTGGGAGAGAGGGGTCTTTGTGGTTTTGTTTTAGCATGGAGCCACAGAATGGTTTGGGTTGGAAGGAACTTTAAAGCCCATCCCACTCCATGGCCTGGGTGGTTAAAATTGCTGTCCTGCACCTCTCAGCCTCATTGAGAGATTGGAAGTCTTGGGAATCCACAGAAGGGAAGATGCTACCTGATTTAAAAGACACACCTCCATCAAAACCAGAGGTGAGCCCTCAGAAATAGGTACTGCTACACTAATTAACTAATTGCATGGAAGTTGTTTGAAGAAGCTGAAGATGAAATTGAGCTGTTTTTTCAGTCTTCTAAATCACAGTTTTTTGGGGAACAAACAATTTTGTTTATTAAAACTCCTAGTGGTCTCATAAGAACCTGTAAAATTTATATTTTGTCATTTTAATTTTTTTTGAGCTTATCTGAATTTAATATATGTGTTTTATAGCACAAGGTAGGAGTAGATTTTCTGTAGTGTTTTGTGGTGACATGAGAAAAACCCAATGATGCCTTTGTGGAGAGGATAAATAATGCAAGGGAGAGAAAAAGCTGCACTTTGCAGCCTGAGTTGTTTTTTTTTGCTTCCCTCTGGCAGAGAGGTCATATTTTACATGAACACTTTGTTGTGAAGTCAGACTGCTGTGGTCCCATCCTGGCTCTTAAGAAATACTTGCAATGTCCAATAGGATTAATATGGGAATGTTAATTAGTTTTCTTTCCTCTGAGACTTGTTTGCATGTGTAATAGGATTATACAAATAGTGGATATGTAATACCTGCTTGCATGTGCAGTATCTGTATGAACAGATATGCAAATCCATCCATCCAGAAACAGTTCTGCACACAAACATCTGTGTGCAGGGGAATCCTGGGAATGTGACAGCCAAACCACTGCACCCAGGGCTGTCCCCTGTGCCTCTGATGTCCCTTCAGATCTGAAATCCTGGCATTCCTTTGCTGACATTCCAGGCTGAGCCTGGCTGTTCCAGAGGGTAACAGCTAATCCCAGGCCTTGCCTGTGCTTCTTGAGAACTGAGGCTGGGCTTTGGTCAGCTCCAGGTCATCACAAATGGCTCCTCCCTTGCAGATGCTGGAAAAATCACATCAGAGGTAGCAAATTGTTCTTGCTGGTTCTTGGGAAACAGCTGTGCTGGGAATGTTTGTGTAAGATCAGGCTGGAAGGGGCAGTTGTGATCCCTTCCTCTCCATTCTTGCATTAAATCTGTGGTGTGTAATTGAGCACGTAATCACAGCTTTTGGAAAAGCAGCCTTGTTCTAAGATGTAAAATGATACAAAATTCAGAGCTCAAGTGCTAGAAATTGATTGTTTCATTAACCTGTTTTACCTGAGATGTGTGTTAGTGCAAGCTTCAGCTTACAGCCCTTCAGGACTTCCTTTAGCTCCAGGAAGGAGCTGAGTTACTGAACTTGTTCCTTTGCAGCTTCCTTCAGTCAGTGGGCATCAAGTCACTTCTACAAATTATTTTAAAAAATAAATATGTTTGTTTATGCCGCTTTACTCATTCTACACTTCTCCCACATACACCTTGCTAGGTGCCAGTAATTTTTTGGCAGGCTGTACAACAATTTGGGCAACATCTGTTTTCCCAAATGCTGGGCATCCTTGGTGCCCACATTGCTCTGCAGTTGGGTCACAGTCACTGGAAGATAAACAAGCATCCTCTCCTGGTGTAAAGCTCAATAAATCAGAATAAAAAAATGGTTGATGTCTCAATGTAAGCTAAGCAAGGAGTTGCCCAGCATTGTCTTCGCACACTGATACAATCTCAGCAGTTTGGTGATATGAGCTTTCTTGCTGAATCTAAAGAATCTCTTACTAATTAATGAGCTTGGAGCACCTTGCATTTAGCACAGAAGTCAGTCAGTAGTTACGGATAGCCAGAACCATTAATTATCAATAAATTCCATGGATTCTAAAGCAATGAGCAAGTGTTTAAGTTTTAATGACTACTCGCTTAAAAATGGTGAAAGCTAAAAATGGTAGGATTTGCTGGTTTTTATACAGCAGGCACACAGAGCTTGACTGATCTGCTCTGTGGCAGCCAGGTAGGCTGAATACTGAAAGAATGGGGATCTTTTGGAAGATCCAAGCTCTGGAAAACCTTGACAGTGGAAAACCAAGTGAGCTTAGTTCTTCAGGACTTGGTATTCTTCATGCAGAGGTGCTGTGTCTGTGATCTGTTAGCTGAGATCTAGGAAATACTTTCTGTATGGCCATCTGTCATGGCTGGTTTGGGAGCTGCCTCAGGACATTGTGATTTGCCAGTGTAAAATGTAAAAGCTTTTACATTTTCTAGCGGTATTCACTTCTGCCAAAAAAACCATTCCAAAGCCATTTGTGCAACACACAACAGAAGATTCATTGCACACTTCGTGTGGTTTAAAGTAGAAATGTTTTTCCATGTATTCCTTAGATTGGTTCCTCACCTAAGCCTGCCGTGTCAAGAACCCTAATGCTGTGTCCTATTTGAATTATATTTACCCTGTATTTGTGCAATTCAAGCACACTTCTGTCATCCTGCAGATTAGCAGTCATTCATTTATTTTTCATCCCTGTGATCTGGGGTTGTTTCAGCAGTAGGAGAGGCTGAGTTCCATCTCCCTGAATTGTTTTCCTCCTGCATGATCTTTCCATCCCAGTGGAACCTGTCAGCATTCAGTGCTTTGTGCTGTCCTTGGGAAAGACTGAGGTAGATTGCACTTGGCAGGGAATTTTTCTTCCTCCTTGTTAAAAATCCAGTTCATCATCTTCACCTGCAGCTCTGAAGTGCCAGAGCTGAGAAATCTAACAGGAAGAGGTGTGTGTTTGCCAAGGACCCACTTTAAACACATTTTTTACTTAATTCAATGAGCCCTGATTTTATTTGCATCCTCTTTGGAAAGCAGCATTTAATGCTCAATTATTTTGCATAGGTTTGTGTGGAGGAGTTAGGCTCTGGATTGACATCTGCAACTCTTTTTTTAATTTTTAAATTTTAATTAAAGGTTTCTCTGGGTGATAAAGAAAATGAAGTTTTTATTTCAGGATTGTTTCTGTGGAGATGGATTTATGGAGTTCATGGCGTTATGGAATCTGAAGCTGCCTCCTAAGGTTTCCTCTCAGGATTGTAATTGCCCTGCACAGCCTCAGTTCTTTAGGAAACTTGGCTTAAAATACCCAGTCCCTTCTCTCAGTTGCTTGTGGTCCTTGGAGGTTGTTCTAATGAGTCTTGTGGGGTGAATGTTTTCCTGAAGTTACTTGAGGACTGTCGTGTTGTCCTCACTAGTGAGAGCACTGCTAATTCCTTGAGAAATTCCATTGGTAATTTGGAACAGTTGCTGAGTAGAGATTTCACTGAAGAATTTTTATAACATTTCATAATTGTAGGCAGTTTTTTAGAGTCCTTAAACAGCAAACAATTCAGAATTTTTATAGAAGAGTCTTAATTTCTAAATCACTGTGCAGAGCAGCTGTGGCTGCCCCTGCATCCCTGGAGGTGTCAGAGGCCAGACTGGACAAGGCCTGGGAATAGTGGAAGGTGTCCAGCCCATGGCAGGGGGTGGAATGGGATGAACTTCCAACCCAAACCAGTGTGGAATTCCATGAAACCCCTGGACAGCTGGGCAAGAACCAGCAGCACCTGACAAAGTGTCAGGGCCTGGCCCAGAGACCTCCTGAGAACAGGTGAGCCATGGCAAGAGAAGGTTGTCAGCACGTAAGTAACCAAAGTAAGAAATAAATACAGATATGCTGTAGAGGCTCTCCAGGCATCCCTTTGGAAACACACTGAGTTGAATTCTCCCCCAGAATTTCCATTTGCATCAAAAGCTGTCATTCTCCAGCAGAGCCTCCTCAGTTCTGGAGCCACCAGAAACCAGCAGCAGGTTGGGATTGTGAAACTTTTTTCACCAAGAGGATTTCCTCATTCTTGGTTTGTTCTTGCCTGGGAAGCACATCTCCAAGTGGAAAGGGGTTCCTGTCCTCATGTCTCACCTCAGGTTTTATCAAACACCAATCTGAGAGCCTGGTGCTCTCTTCTCA